CTTACAAATATAGTTATTTGGCTTATATCGTGATAGATATCGTTATCGCCTGAAATGAAAAAAACATATCGTGATATGAAAAAATCTCATATCGCCCAGCTCTGTAATCATGAAAGCTGCTCTAGTAAACTTTAGGGATAAATAGGAGCTGAAGTTATGCCACATATTAATGATGCCATATGTTAGGAGTGAATTAGCTGAAAACTATAAGATGATGAAACTTGGGGCAACACCAACAAATCCAAATCCACATGCTGAAACTGGAACAATATTAGCTATATTCATGGTGGGATTGTTTTTATTTATTTATTTATTTATTTATTTATTTATTTATTTTTTACAACAACTGAAAGTAGTTTAACATGTCATCTACAACCATGTCCATCTGACCCTTTCCTAAAATGTTTTAATCTATCTAAACACAGTGTTCCCTAGAGTCTCTGTGCATTAAGTGTATCCGTCTAGTTTATTTTTATGTCTGTGCAACTTTAATCTTTTGTGTGATTTCGGAAATGCATTGCTCTGGATTGAGCCATACACTTGTGTAACTTAGCACATGAATTCACATATAGCATTAAAAAGCTTATAAAAGCTTATTTTGGTTCAAAGTCACCAAACCTTAGATTTGACTTGTATTTTTTTACGTGTAGTTTTCAATTTCGCAAACACCATTATAATAAAAGTTATAGATATCGCCACAGTTATTCCTGTAAATAAATAAGCGTGGCAACATGTTCTTTTAGAGGAACTAATATGGGGTAAATTTTAAACTGAATTATGCAAAGCTGCTCTAGTAGACTCCAAGAATAAAGATACAGAGCTCCATTTAAACGGCCACACTGGGTAATAGTTTATATGATCATTTATATCTGGGGTGTCAAGAAACTAAAGCATGCAGAAAGAGACGTGATGGTCAACTTAATAAAATGTCGTCATCCTCTTCATGTCCTGCCTCATCTCCTGCACTGCATAAACATGCTCATTTATTTATTACTGATATAGTCGTAATTATTTAAGCTAATAAGCTGATATCGTTCTAGTTAATGTTGGACTCAAGTGTGCAAAAAAAAAAAAATCGCACTTTACCTCTGATGAAGAGTTTCCAACAATGCTAAAGCCACCTCAAAGAAATGTTTGCTAACGCCAGTGAACGGCAACTGATGATAGTTAACTGTAGCTAATGAAGGCTAACAGCAGTCCTGCCTGCAGCTCAGCATATGCTCAAAGACTTCTCTCAGCATGACTGTCATTGGTCAGAAGTGAGACACGCACCTGAATCCTGTCATAGAGTTTTACAGCCTTCTCAGAGTAAAGATAGGTGGATGTTTCTTACCCAGCCCCTACAGCTGAGATAAACAGTAGATTGATAACCTTCCACAGATAGGGAACAACTTTGGGGCAGAGCCGGATCCAATCCAATATCAAAGGTAGATGAAATACAAAACTGTACATTCGGTGATTTTGAGAAAACGATTTCCTCTTATCTCCGAGGAAGTCCATCCACTCTGCACACAACGATGATGAGTATTAAACCTGTCAGAGCTCAAGCTCTGTGTTGGACAGCTAATGATGTGGCAGAATAAAGCTTTTTTCCCCCTTCTGCATCGAGGAAGAACCAAATTTAGAAGAAAGTGTTTGACAGATGTGATCAGACAGACACAAACACACTTCTCCCATGAAAGCGTGTGTTGTAAGGCTTTGTCCTCACTGTGTGAAAGGCCTCATGGCACAGAGCACGCTGTGAAAAGGAGGTTTCACCATGTATGGTCAAACTTGAGTCTCATGCTCATGCTTTCCAAATCTGTCTTTTTCTGCCTGAGGATGAAGCCAAAGACAGAAGCTCCAAACACACATAAATATGCACTCAGACAGTGTCCAAGGCTAATGTGAGCAGGGTTAGAAACCTAAATGTGTTTCAGACTCGCGACTGAGAGAGCTGAAGGGTGGAGAGACCTTTTTTTGTGGACTCTTGTCATGCTAGAGGTTCATTGTGAGCTCTCAGTGGCTCGTTGTTCTGCCAAATGACAGCAAGTAAGATTTCTCAATCTACTGATTAAAATCTCTAATCCTATTCATGCTGGATACCCACCAAATTCTCCAGGAATAAATGGAAATAAAGCAGCTATTATCCCATATGTTAAATATTGTGATTAATGATGGATTAAGGATTTATTCCTTAAAGAGGGCTGTAAATAATCATTATAATCCTGTGATTGAAGGAATAAACACATCTACAGTTTACTACATTCACACATCTTCTTCTTTTCCAAACAAAAATGCAAATTCACTACTTTTAAATATTTAAATAATACAAGATTTTGCTTGGCAAAATGACCTGAATGATTTCTTAAATACAAGTAGGAATTGTAAGATTTTCTTTAATTAACCAGTAAATTATGGCACAATTAAGAGTTTTCTATGACTTACTCTTTAATGCCATCAAAACTAAAATGACTAGCTTCATACAGGATACCTTGACTGCAATCTTATATATAAACAACCCAACTTAATTTTGACCACACTTTTCCAGTGTGATAGGTCTTTTTCATAAAAGATTATTCCTGAGGAGGTTATGTCTGACTTAAAATGAGTTGTGTTTGCAGGAAATGATATTATAATCGTAAAATAAGAAGAAAATAGTAAAATTAACATTATTTATTTTATTTTTTATTTTTTGCTAATCAGTGTTTTCCCCTAGAATTAAATTCTGATTATGGCAGTAGTATAGGGTAGGGGTAGGTAAATGCCATTTCTGCACTCACCAGCAGGCCTAAATTTTCTTAATAAGTTAATATCTAATAATAGATGTGCTGTTCATCAGCCTCTCTGGTTAAGCTGCGTCCACAATGGAAGCAATTGGAAGAACATAAAATTTAAAATTTTTGTGGTTGTAGTGTATTGGTTTGTTTTTTGTTTTTGTTTTTTGTCTTGTTCTTTATGGATGATTCCTTGAGAGTCTGACTGTGAACATGGTTTCCCAGTAAGGACAAGAAAATGACAGAAGTCATTGTTTTCCACCTGAGGTGATCAAATGTTTTCAGATCTACAAAAATTATAAGCTAGAACTTAAGTGAGGCTTTTATTGCTTGCAGTATTTCACAGTAAAACTTGAGATGTACCCAAGTCCTCCCTGTAATTGCTGCTGTTGATGGATCTTTAGGCCTGTTTGTACCACTAATTAACCTGAATGCGCTTTGTGAATCCTGGATAGGGGTTTTAGGTCAGGAGCTCTGGCCTGGATTAACCGTGGTGTTTATACGGTGTATGTGTGTCTCTGGTTCATGTGACTCAGAAACCTACATTGACACATAGAAGCATGCCAAATTTGGAGCTGCCTTATATGGCGGGTTTATCCCCTTTGTAAAAGTTTGTCATTTGGTGTTTTTTGTTTGTAGTGAATTTCCAGACCTGCTGCATTGATTCAAGAAGTTAAATCTGTCACTGTCATCTGCTGCAGGCCATACAGAGAGGGTTTGTTTTAGGCAGGATGTAGTGTGAACTCAAACTGAAGAAGGAAAATGCCAGGAAGCAGTATTTGTTTGCAGATCTGTGAAATGGTGAAAATATACTTGACCATTTCTGGGTAGTGAAAGGATTGAGATCGCTAACTGCTGCCCATTAAATGCCTGGACTTTTGTTTTGGAGTGTGTGTATGAGCCCAGTTTTGATAAGGAAAATTGGACATCTTGAGCCCTCTCAAACCCTGGTGTTTTTTGGCCCTGGGAGTGGAAAAAGTGACTTCAGTTGGCTGAGAGGCTGGAATTTTTTTTTCTTCTAGAAACAAAGACCAGAGATGCACAGAGTCTGATAGATTCTTTCTATTAAACCTTTTCTTTAGGGGGGTGGTGACACCTTAAATGTTTTGATTCTTGCACCAGGTTTGATCCTCTTTGCCTTCAAAACTGTCTTAATTGTACGTGGCACAGATTCAACGAGGTGGTGGAAGCATTCCTTAGAGATGGTGATCCATATTGACATGATAAAATCCCAAAGGTGCTCTGTAGGATTGAGATCTGGAGACTGTGGAGGTTCATTTGAGTACAGTGAACTCATTGTCATGTTCGGCAAACCAGTTTGAGATGATCTGAGCTTCGTGACATGCCGTGTTATCCTGCTGGAAGCAGCCATCATAAGCAGGTACACTGTGGTCATAAAGAGATGGACATGGTCAGCAACAACACTCAGGTTGGCTGTGGAGTTGCTCAATTTGTATTTCGGGGCTTAAAGCATGCCAAAAAATATCCCCCACACCATTACACCACCAGCAGCCTTAACTGTTGATACAAGGCACAATGGATCCATGCTTTCATGCTGTTTAAAGCAAATTTCACAGCAGAAATTGAAACTCGACGGACCAGCCAACAGTTTTCTGAACTTCTGCTGTCTAATTTTGGTATGTTGTGTGAATTGTAGCGTCAGTTTCCTGCTGTTAGCTAAGAGTAGCACTTAGTGTGGTCTTCTGCTGCTGTTGAGATGCTCTTCTGCATACCTTCGTTGTAATGAGTGGTTATTTGAGTTAATGTATCGGCTTGAAGTAGGCTGGCCATTCTCCTCTGGCCTCTGACATCAACAAGACATTTTCTGTTTTTTGGACCAGAGTGTTGTGTGGAGGGAAAAGCAGTTTATGTAATACTTATAACAATAACTATGCTGCGTTCAAAGTCACTTAAATAGATCATTTAATCTACATTCTGATGTTCAGTTTGAACTTCAGCAGGTCATCTTAAATATTTGCATTAACAAGCAGTTGACATGTTGTACCCAATAAAGTGGCCAGTGAGTGTATATTTTTTTTTTTTTATTTGGGATAAAAGTCTCAGGCAGTGGAGATGAATATTAAATACAGCTGTGAAGGTAGTCATGGTAGTGAAAGTACCATTAAAATCATCTTAAATCTTCTGTAAGCACTCATGACAGTTTCAGCTCCTTCTGTAGATCACTCCTAGAAAAGTGGTCTCCTATTTAAAAGTGCTCATCCCCAATTCTCTTCTGACTCTTAGGAAAAACATTTGATACTCATGGCGATCTACACGGATTAATGGAAACTTGCCAAAGGTGGAAACTAATTACAGGACAAAGCTGAATGTATTGGTGAGGAAAAATCGCTAAAACTGCAGCAGCAGATTGGATTGTTACCTTAACTTAATTTGAAACCTTCTGAAATGATTAAATAAAGTTGTACAGAATTTTCTGGCACACCTGCTACTTTGAGTTTATCTAAAGACTAATCAGAAGGGTCTGAACGAAGCTGCTCTTGATTATAACATGTGTTTTCATGACTCTGTGGCTGTTTACAGATTGCTCTTCAGTGGCCTTTCCTTCTTTCATTAGAGAGATCTCTTCTATCTAATTAGTGCTGAATGACCTCATGTAATTCAGAAAGAGACTCTTCTATTGCTCGGAATGCTGATAGTTTGATTAGTCGTTTAATAAGACTGATTATCTGAACTCATCCACACACCGCTGTTATTTTATCCACTGCTGGGACAGTAGATCTGAAAGCTAAATCAGAGGTATTGTCGTTGCCTTTAGTACTACTCATGAGGTCAAGGGTTCTTCCTGAAATCTCATTCCAATTTTAAAAAATCAAAAAAAATCAAAAATCAGTCAAATAGGAAATAAATTCCCTACATGACCCCCTGAGAATTAGCTCATTTGCTTGCTAGCTGTATGTGCTTTCGTTAGCTTGCCAAAGGCCTACTTACAATTTTACCTACAGTTTGACACCAGGCTCAACTAGTTTTCTAATATAAGATGGACATTTTCATGTAACTACAGCTTTTGCTTAAGAAGCTTAGAGAGCTTAAAATGCTGGAAACAATTCATTTAAAAACAACAAATATCACCTATTTTCAAAGGTAAAAGTTTGCACGAGTTCATTAAATATACTAAAGCTGTTGTACAGATACAGTTGGCTGATAGTGAGCCGGTCAGATGGTAGGCACGCACTTGGAGTGGAGACTTGCTGCAGTCATTAAAATGAACTGGAGCCACGGTGTGTGTGTGTGTGTGTGTGTGTGTGTGTGTGTGTGTGTGTGTGTGTAAATCTTTAGGGAGATGGAGCTGCAGCCATCCTGACTGCTGGAGTCCGAGTTCACAAGCAGCATTTTAAGGTTATAGAGTGCACAGTTATTGCATGTTTACTGTTCACTGTGATGCACTTTGTTTTGTATAGTATCTGCACATACTGTGACTGCAGCTTTTAACAGATGCATTAGATGATTTTATTAGTAAAAATTGTTAAATTATGCCTTGCTGCTACTTTTTATGCATAAATTATCAGTATGATTCCCATTTATCAAACTTAGAAAAACAAATTGTCACAGTTTCTAGAAAATGCCCTCCAAATTTGTTGGATTGATATTAAAACAGAGTTGTTCCACTAATTTCTAGCTCCTTAGTTTTACTCTTGGACTCTACTAGAGGAGCTTTGCATGGTTTATAGTTTAAAATAATCCCTCCTTAACTTTACCAGACCTCTGTGAACCCCCCTTACTTCAGACTGTTCTAGTTCCTCCCTCCTTTATGGCAGCTTTATTCTGATAGGTTGCTCCTCGCATTGGCACTCTTTCTGACATCATACAGAGCCAAGAGTAGAAAAAATGCCTGAAACTGAGCATTTAGAGTTTCTGAAAGCCTCTTTTGGCTCAGAGTGATTACTTTTACGTCATCTTGACCTCAAAGATCAAAAGCACGGTCACTTTGACTGTGCTTAACAACACTGAAAGGAAATAAGGTGACAGAAAATAGCTAAAAGCACAATACCTCCACTGTAAATGAGTTTGTCTTCACAGGTCTTAAATTTTGTACCTCATTAAAACAGAGCTGTATTAAATCTGTCTGAACCTGACATGCATGCTGTGCATTCATTTACTGACTCCTCTCCAATTATACATGCATTCATTACCAGGCAGAAGTTACATAGGGAGGGGATATTTAAGGCCAAATGATTAAAAAGCAGCCATGCTAATAGTAAAAATACAGCTCTTGAATCAAAATCTAAAGCCAAAGTAATAAAAATATCTTGTTTATATGCATCAGCGACAAATGTCACAAAAGGAGAACGCTATTAAAAGTAAAATAAGACAATACTATGTGTGGTCTGGTTTATTTAAGTCAGGGGTCCCCAATCCCAGTCCACGAGGGCCGGTGTCCCTTCAGGTTTTAGATGTCCTTGATCCATCACAGCTGATTTAAATGGATAAATGACCTTCTCAACATGTCTTGAAGTTCTCCAGAGGCCTGGTAACGAACTAATCATGTGATTCAGGTGTGTTGACCCAGGGTGAGATCTAAAACCTGCAGGGACACCGGCCCTCGTGGACTGGGATTGGGGACCCCTGATTTAAGTCAAATTTGCTCGAAATTACTGGTTTAACCTTTACTTAGGTGTTGGGTTTTATTAATGTGACTTGCTGTTCTCCTTTGTGTAGTTCTGCAAATGTAAGTGTTAAATGCTGTGTAATAACATGAGGAGGAGTTTTGTGGGTTTGCAGGACAAATTGTCCAGCTGGGGGAGGTTTGCTTATTTTGTATGTGTCAAAATAGCATCCACCTGAATGCCAGGACTGAAGTTTTCCAGGAGAAGAAGATGATCAGTGTTGTTCATTTAGCCTGTCAGTGGTTTTAATGTTTTAATGATCAGTTTTGCAGCTACAGTGTCCTATTGGTTAATATTTCATTGAGTAGTCAGCCACCTCATGGTGTAGTTAGGAAAATTTGGACCCGCAGCATCCTGCTCACAGTCCAGTGCAAAACTACATTTGAATGCAAATGCAAATAGGGTAGATTTTCCTTCAGGTAGTGCTCCACTTGTTTGCAGTGACAGATGTAGGGCACCTCTATCTGAGAGGCCCGAAATGGAACACTGTTAGTGGTGGACCATATACATCAGGAAGTAGGCCAGCGACTATTAACCCAGACCCACAATTAAGCTCACATTCTGGACCTCTTTGGTTAAAATGCCGGTTTTATGGTTCCAGTTTTCAACATCTGAAATTGAAGGAACACATTTTGTGCACTCCCGTATGTTATTTTTTTAATATTTTCCAAAGATAAATACATTAACACTTTTCTTAATGAGCCACTTTAAGTTATTTGTAGCTCAATGCAAGAACATACCATCTTTTGATTACTCTGTAATAACTGGGCTCAGCTGTAATGCTCGAGTCTTTTATTCCTTTCAGTGACAGTCAGACCTCATTACTTATTTTAAGAGACACTTCCAGCAAAATCTGCCTGCTGCACTGTCAGATTTACCAGGTTCATAACTAAAAGTTTTTGGGTTTTTTTTTTTTTTTATTTTTGTTTTTTTGCTAGTTTTACGAACTCTTGGCTTGTAGTTAGCAAGTGCTTATATGCATGCCGGATGACTGGGGCAATCTGCTAGCAACTAAACTAATGAAAATGGGGTTTTTGGTGTAGTTCCCTTCAGCAACCACTCACCAACTGGTCACAGAACAACCGTTTTTATCTCTCCACCTAAGTTTGCAAGGGGTCTCTAACTGGTCTCTAGCGTGTATGACTGAGGTCTAAGCTTCCTATCGTTAGCTTAGTGCTCCATGCTCTCGTCCAAATATGCTAATTTCTGGCTTCAAACAACTAACCTGTAAAACTGCTAATTCTCTAACCACTTAGACCAAAACCAATGGGTGATGTCCCAGTGGCTAAGTCCATCTTTTATATACAGTGTGTGTTTAAATGTGAGTGGGCTTTTGTGTAGCACATAGTGTCAGGCTGTTTTGTAGAAACAGGTGTGATTATCCACACATTATTTTGATTATTTTTTTCTGTAGGAAATGGAGCACAACTCAACCCAAATACTGCAGAGATCTCCTTGTGTGTATTGTTAATCTAGACCGCGGTGCTCCTCCATCTGAGCTGGGTACAGTCCCTCGTGTGGACAGCTTTGCTGTAAATAGGCTAATTGCTCTTTACAAAAATGGGACAAAGAGAAGAAAAGCAGGAGAAAGAGTGGGACATTTGCTTGTACACAGACCGAAACCTTTAGGGGGACAATCCCAAAAGAGGAGTGGAGCAAAAAAAAAAAAAAGTACAGGGGTGAAGAACGATGGACAGACAAGATGTTGGTGAGACGCTCAAGATGACATATATAAGGATAACAAAAATAAGCAGGAGAACAGAGGAAAAAAAATAGATGGGCATATGGGGAACGTTCATCAGGCATAAAACATCACATAAAATGCTCTGGTGAAGCAGCGAGAGCTCACACACAGACACAAACTGTGCTCTTATGTATTTTCCACTGTTTATGCAGACGTGCTGGGGCTCAGGAGGCTGACAGAGCATGTTCACACACACACACACACACACACACACACACACACACACACACACACACACACACACACACACACGGACAGATACGCTCTTCACTCTTTCACACTATCAACATATCCATATATGAGACAACATAGCCTGGGACGTGTTTGGACTGTGACACCATGTGGAGTGTTGGAGGTGCAAGAAGTGTAGACTTAAGCTTTGCATTTGAGGGGCAGAGCAAAAAATATTTTTTCTTTTCCAGTTTAACACAGTCAGAAATTAAATGTTAATGGATGTTACTAAAGAACTGGGTTTCCAGTTGTTAGTTTGTGTCTTCAGCACGTGAAGTTCATGCTAGGTTGAGGTATTTGCAGAATTTTCAAGTTCTTTACCTTCAAAACCTTCTGAGTGGCCTTTTCAGTTTGTTCTTTAGTCCCCTAAAGCAGACAAACACCATTACCACCGTTAAAAATGGTCCACATTCTTTCACCTCTGAAAAATTTGTAAGTAGCACGTTGAAATCTACAGATGATCTGACTGAGGTTTTTTAAAAACAAACAAAAGCAGCACTGCAACAACTTTAGACATAAACAAAAATGGAAACCTTAAAAACTATGGTTATTGATGTTGGTCTAGTCCACAATGCACCGCTTGAGGTTAGTCCTTAATGTTGCTGTGTGATTTGAATTGAATTATTTGCTTCCAAACATTCCTGGTCCTGAGCTGACGGCCAGTCTTCCTGGAAGCAGTCTGATGTTTTGATTTCTGGGACACAGCAGGACACGGCGGACTGTCTTTCATAAACCCTTCATAAAAACAGTTTTTATGAAAGACATAAATAGTGCTAATAAAAAGTTGATATGTTATTTAACCAGCAGATGTGCTGTATTCACCTAGGCTGCTCCTGTGTTGTGTCAGCAGTAAACGGCCCTGATTCACTGGACAGGATTGATGTTCATGGCTTAGATACAAGTACCCTCGAGTCTACACCAAGGTTACTGTCGTTAAATTAAACTAAACTAAAACAGTGTAGTTGAATAAAATAAAAACTACTAATAGACCTTTGAAAAAACTTTGGGAACTTGGGTAAAATAAAATAAATATACATAGTTTTGGTATTTGTATATTTTGGTTAAATTTGTTATCACAAACTGTCTGATGAGATGTCTACAAGATAGAGAGCCAAGTGCTGTCAAATGTTCTTGTTATATTGTTATACGTGTCCTGATTTTCCTTAAGCTTTCCTGACATTATTCCAAAAATGCTGTAATAATTTTTTTTTTTTTTTAAAAGCTCAGAAAGCTACCTGAAACTCAACTGAATTTAAAAACCAAAAGTGAAAAAGAAAAAAAAAATTGGGCCATATTCATTTCATAAATGTAACATAAATATGTAAATAAGTTTAACAACTCATGTGGTCCCTGATATATCTTAATATGAGAAAAGAAGCTGAGCCCAACAAAACAAAACAGAAAAAGCTGATTTCTTTAATAGACAGTTGTATATAGCATTTGTATTTGTATTCTATTTTTATCTTATTGTATATTTATTTTATTTTATTCTACTGTATATAGTATTTTATTCTATTCTGTACAGTTGTGTACTGTATTTATTCTTATTGTATTCTAATTTTTGCCTCATAACTTTTGCACTGTCCACTTCCTGCTGTGACAAAACAAATCCCCCACGTGTGGGACTAATAAAGGTTATCTTATCTTATCTTATCTTAGACTGTGAAAAAACCAATTTTTTATGTCATGTCATTGTTTATGGGTTAATTACTTTGGTAATAAAATCTATGTGCAGGGGTCTAAAATTAGGAAAAGCTGCAAAATTAATGAAAACACAGTTAAAAATCCAAAATCACTGTTCTTCACATTTTTTCAAAGCTGTCCAGTGGACTGGATTGGAGTCCTTACGGCCTACTTCAGTCTTCACTTCAGCCCTCATGTCAGGCCCTGGGCCTTATGTTTGACACCCCTCATTTAGTGAATATACATCACCTTTAAAAGGGGGCACAGCTCAACCTTGTGCATGTAGCACATGTGCACTTCTGTGGTGGTTGGGTTAAATGAATAGCAGATACATTTTGGGTGTGTGTGTCTCAGTGAATGAAGCAGTAATGAAGGCCCACGGTGGGAAAAGAGGATGCTCGCTCATTTAAATTCTGCTGCTCGCGCAGACACTGAACCTGCAGCTGATTCATATTTGTAAAAACAAGATTTTCTGTTTGTGTCCTCATGAAAATTAATGTGATGCTTTTGACCTTCTTTACCCTGAACATGCTGCAAGGGGCCATCTCCGCTCTGGCTGTCTGTTTTGTATTTGCATGGAGAGATTTGCATATGATTAAATTATTGAATGTATTGCTGTGTTGTGTTGTGACCCTGATGTGAAAGTGAGAGCCACAGAAAGTTGCTGCATGTTTCTGAGATGCTGAGATGATGCCGTATTGATCGATCCCTGTTAGTGAAATCAGATTCTTCCAGCAACAAAAAGGGTGGACGGTTGAAGCAGAACATGAGCACACAAGCAGAATATTAAATAAGCTGGAGGAAGACGAGCTGAGCCTTAGAAGAACTTATGCTGCAGGCTGCGTCGGCGGCCATTGTGAATAAAGGCTCGAGTTCTCGACCCCAAAAGTCACATCCAATATTTTCAGTTTCTCCTGTAAGTTTTACTTTCTGTGACTCGTTCCTCATTTCTGTTCTTCAAACACTTTCATTATTGTATTTGTTGGAATTTATGTCGAAACTACACCACATGCAGTTTTTAGATTTTGTTTCTCTTGAAAGACGTCGTCCTGATGATGTCCAGCTAGTGTCCATAAACCACGAATTCTCTGACTCCTCTGTTTGTGCAAACAAACTTGTTATCACAATAGATTAAATGGACTATATAAGTCTAATCAGACTAAACAAGTCAAGCGTATTAAACAGAGAATAAAGCATAAACAGTCTAAAACAGCAGTGCAGTTTATTTATGTATTTATAGAGGACCAAAACTGCCAAAATTAAAATAAATAAATAAATGCCACAACAGATGTTGCTGTTAAATGCTTGAAAAGAATATAGATAAATATAGCAGTTAGTTGATGTTTTCTCTAATTTGCTTCTTAGAATTAACTTTATGTTAAAGGATCAACATGCTGTGTGATGATTGTGATCGACTGTGATCTGAGGGGTATACCACGATTCAAAAAGGTCAACAACAGCAAGCTTTCTTTGCTCTACCCTAGTACAAGATGACCAGTATCACAACGGTGGTTGTCAGCTTCCTCTGTTAAGCCGAGCTCTCTAGGCCTGGTGTATGTTTACATAAAAAGGGGTATTTCACTCTTCTTTTACACAAAGAATCCCTGTGAGCGCCCCCTACCCTGATCGGACACGTTAGCATGTAATGATAAAAGGTGAAAAAATGTATAACGAACATAAAAAATATAAATACAAAAAATAAAAAAGTGAAATGCAAATTTGATTGTAAATAGGACAACATTAATACCCCAGAAAATCATTAATCATTAGATTTGGTGCAGAGATCGGTAACATAAACATTTTAACTTTAATTAATTACTGGCTGCACGTCAGATCTGTGAAACTTTAAACTGGATACTTTGAAACATTGAAGCTGACTGTCTCACAGCCTGGTAAACAAGATGTGGAGATAACTGTAGTCAGGAGATCAAAGTGAAATTAACTTGATTGATTGCTCTGGACCAAGTTATGTGTTCAGCATAAGTTACTATGGCGATCAAAGCTGAAGACTTCAAGCTCAACATAGCTACAAATCTGCTAATCCGACTTCATGGCACAGCCCTCAGATGATGGGGACATAGGTGTATGTTGTTCTGGGTTTTGGAACTCCAACTGATCATTGATGCCTTAAGGACAAAAGTCATTTTTAAAAGATATAACATTGCTGTAAATTCTGGTTGGTAAACATCCCTCACCTCTCCTCTTCTCTCCGCTCTTGTCCTTTGTAGAGAGGTGAAGCGTTTCCTTGGCGCCGCCGTGGATCTGTGCAGGTGGAGGGTCACATCACATGGGAGTGTGCGACTGCACGCGTGACGGTGTGTGTTTAGGCCTCCTGCCGTCACTCGCTCCTCCCAGACAGGCATGGCGGGGGGCAGGGAGCGCAGCGGCTCGAGGACGCAGAGGCCGTGGTCGGTGTACCGAGCCAACACACTGGAGCTGTCCAATGAGATGATCAGCTTGGCGCTCGCAGGTCAGAATATCGTGGAAACTGAGCTAGAGTCAGAAACTTTTTAGTGTTTTGTGCATTTTAGCAAAATAGTGTCAAATATAGTTTGGTCACATTTAAGGAGGTTAGGTTTAGAAAAAGGTCAAATAAGTCCAACTCACACTGATAAAGCATCCCTGAGATATTCACGCATTATCAAAATGGTCAGATTTTGTATTTCAAAATAAAAGCCTTTGAAATGTCTGTTATGAGTTTTTTACCTTTAATTTACAAACAGATTACAAGGAAACGTCCTGTTTTCACAGACGTATTTCCCTTTACCTTGATAGTATAACACGTCAGACTGTCACTCATTTAATATCAAGGCAGTCTGATTTAATCTGATCAAAATAAAAACCTTTCCTACAAAGGTAAACATGGCTTATAGCCATGAAAGGGATTACAGGAAAACATCCTTTTTACAGACATGCTATTAATCTAAAGGGAAGTATAATACCTCAAGCTGTCATTCCACGTCAAGTCATTCTGTGTATTTCAAAATAAAAGCCTTTTGAAAGTCTGAGCTGTGTTTACCTTTAATTTAAAAAGACATTACAAGGGTGCTAGTTTCATTTTCATCTAAACATAATCAAAATTGACGTAAAGTAGCTTCAATGTTGAAGCTGGAGATGATTTTAATAAATGAACTGCTGGTCGACTTTGTTTTTTAGTACTGAAGCATAATTTATCATGTACAAAAGCTTCAAATGCTGTTTCTCTGACTTAATGTTATGATGACGTTTGTGTTACTTTGCAGGAAATAGTCAGGACCCAGATGAACCTGTGCTGGAATTCAGTGTGGGTGAGTAATATGAGCATTTATGATGGCTGTCCGTGACATTTATAACCCGTATTTAAATTTAGTGGTCGTTAGTGCCTCTGTTCATGATCTACTCACTGCAAGTGACAGTGACTACCATAAGAGCAGAGTCTGCTCTTATGGTAGCAAAATATATTCAGAAAATCTCCATAAAACAGCAGCTCAGCAGCAGAAATATATCAGACAGTGAGAATATATGAGTATATGGTCAGCTGGTTATGAGCTAATGAGTATGTGTAATCAATCCAAACATTTTGAAACAAACTCTCCAACCTCGCAGCTGCAAGACTGCCTCTGCAACCACAAGTGCCTTCAGAGAGTCTTCCTGCTTGCCTCTTGGCTTGATTTGCTTGTGTTTTCTCACCCAGCATGCACAGACCTGGTGACTCCTTCTCTGGACCGAAAACCCAACACCTTTGTAGCAGTGAGCTGCACGACGCCGCCGCAGGCCTTCTGGACCAAACACGCCCAGACTGAAGTCATAGAGGTCAGACTCGTCACACAGATACAGAAACATACTTAAAGTTACAGTTGGACTAATGTTTAAGCAGCTCTAGCTTCCATAACGTTGATTTCAGCTTGTAGGTGTGACTTAACGACGGCATAGTGACCTGTTTGCCACCACCCACACCTTCCTTATCTACGTCATTCAGTCTGGATGTGGAGGACGAGGGAGAAATGAATAATAAAACTGCAAAAACACACTTTTAGAAAAGTTTTGTTGCCAAACACGAATGTGACCTCTGAAAGAGCAATTTCAGAGGTCACATCACTTTGTATTGAATGCATTTATTTGCACGCCCCCTCAAGTGCAGAGTGAGTCATCAAAAATAAGGATTTTGTTGGGTAAACACTCATAAATATGTATTTTTATGCATATTTGGCAAAGTTAAAATGATACAGTGTGAAACCAGTGTATTTTTAGGCTTATCTGTATGTGTTACAATGACTTTCTTCTTCCAAAATGCCTGTTTTGCACATGGTTTGAACTTTTAACTTAAATTTCAACGCAAATTGAAGCTGCTATTATGCTACTTTTCCTTGAAAATGTGATTATGATAATAACAATAAAACAAAACATGAACTGCTGAACTATTTTGTGTAACCTGTGTCTCTCCACAGGGTACCAGTAACCCCAGCTTCCTCAGCAGCATTGCCTTCTTCCAGGACTCCAACATCAACCAGCTGACGCAGGTCAAACTGGCTGCGTATGATGTGAAGGATCGCTCGCAGGGCACGGTACGACCAGCAGCACTGATAATTTTATTTTAATAATTTGAGCAAAGAAGCAGCTCAGCGTGTGAACTGTCTGTCTGTCCAGATGTACATGTTGGGCTCTGCACTTTTCCCTGTGAAGGAGATACTGCAAGAGAAGAGCCACAAATTACAGCTCGAACTGCGGTAACACACACTTAAACACACAAACACTTCTGCTTTTTTACTGCTGTATTCAAGATTCTTTAAATTCACCCCAGTTCTTTAAGCAAAACTCACTCCAACTTATTGCTGTTTTATTGCCGTCTTGATGCACCACGTTCACTTTGAAGACATAAACTGACTGCGAGTGAAAGATTTCTTGAAGCCATTTCTAAACAACTGCATATTCCAATATCATAATTACACCCCCACTAATATTTGGTTCAAGGTCTCTTAGCATGTTGCACCTCAACCAGACACTTTTCACAGCCATCAGTGAGCTTCTGGTATAATCCTGGCTTATATTTGACTGCTATTCTTGGCAGAATTGGGAGAGTTAAAGTGTTTGGTTTCTTGGCACAATCTTGGCTTTTAAGCTCAGTCCACAAATCTTTTCAACAGGGTTTAGGTCGGGGTTTTGGGAAGGCCATTCCAGAAGTTCAATGTGAACCTGCTTTATCCATTCAAAACTAGTTTTAATGTGTGTTTGGGATCATTATCCTATTGGAACACCCAATTATGTCAAAGTTTCAATGCTGTTGATTTGAGGTCAAGTTAAAGATTTTGGAGGTAGTCCTCCTCCTTCATTATTCCATCCACCTTTTGCATCACCTGTACCACTGACAGCAAAACAGCCCCAGAGCATGATGCTAGCACCACCCTGCTTGAGAGCTGGTACAGGTTTGAAAACATACCTCTTGTCATTGTGGACAAATAGCTCAATCTTTGTTTGGTTTGACCATAAAACCTTTTTTCTAGAAGGCATCTAGCTTGTTGATGTGGGCAGCTGCAAATTGTAGTCAAGTTTGAAAGTGTAGATCTTCAAGAAGGGGCTTTTCTCTTGGTCAGCACCCTTTCAGTCCATGATGATGTAAAACAGGTGTCACTGTGGACAGAGATTTTGGTCTTCCAGCAGTTTCCAGTTCATGACAGGCTCGAGTCTTGATGGTTCCTGATTTGTTCCTGGGCATCCCTACCAATTTCCTCTTATTTGAGGGTAACAGTTTGGATCTTCTTCCAGACCTCAGCAAATCTGAATAACTTGTACTTAAGTACAGTTGTTTGAACCGATGGAATCTGCAGTTGTTTAGAAAATACTCCAAAAGACCTTCCCAACTTGCTTAAATATACAGTTCTCCTTCTTGGATCTTCACTGAGTTCCTTAGACTTTCCCTTAGTTTTGAGTATTGGTCAGTCCAATGAGTTCTATCAAACAATCCTTTTTATGCTGCTAAGAAAAGCTACCAGTTGGACACAATCATGATCACTAACAAGAAGTTAACAAACATGTGCACCCAGTGTTTTAAAGTTGTTAAAGATGCATGCTGCACAATCATTCCACCCTGGACAAGAACAGTTAAAAGAAATCATTAAAAAGACAAGATTATCAATCAATCAAGCAATTTATTTATAAGCAGATTTAAAAACAACACAGGCTGACCAAAGTGCTGTACATAATAAAAAAGTAAAAAGTAGATCAAACACACACAAAGAACAAAACTCAGTCACAATTAAAAGCTAGAGTGTAAAAATGTGTTTTGATTGATTGATCGATAATATTTTATTCATCCCGATGGAAATTGGGTTAAGGCTGCCAGCCTTGCCAGCGCCATACACCATTTTCAAACAGGTTTTTAAAAATGTCTAGTGTTGGAGAGATCCTAATTTCAACAGGCAGACTGATCCAAGGTTTGGGCGCAGCAATCACAAAGGCCCGGTCGTCTCTGTTTTTTAGACTGCTTCTAGGGACAAACTAGAAGCAACTAGCAGCTGACCTAAGAGTTCTATTTGGAGTATTTTTAGTTAACAGATCAGAGAGGTATGCCAGAGCTAATCCATTTAGAGATTTAAAAACAAGCAATAAAATCTTAAAATCAATTCTACAACATACTTGAAAATGGTCATGTTTACGAGTGCCTGTCAAGAGTCAGGCTGCAGCATTCTGAACTAGCTGAAGATGAGGGAGCAGAGCCTGGCTGATACCAAAATAAAGACTATTACAGTAGTCAAGCCTGGATGAAATAAATGCATGTCTCACTTTCTCAAAGTCAGCAAATGACAAAATGTTCTTAGTTTTTGCAAGGGCTCTGAGCTAGAAGAAGTTGGCTTTTACAACAGAATTTATTTGTTTCTCAAATGAAAAGCTGCTATCAAAGAACACTCCCAGATTCTTTGCAAAGGGATTTCTGGATTTTTCCAGAGGACCAAGGTCAACCTTAAGAGAAAAGCGAGGGTCAGAAGGTCCAAATAGAGCAATCTCAATTTTTTGGTCATTTATATTCAAAAGATTTAATGCAAACCATGATTTAATGTCATCAAGGCAGTCTAGCCAAAGAAAGATTACCATGACATTCATGCCCATGATGATTGTGTGTAAACTACTGATCACAACGGTAAGCAAGAAATAAAAGATGCTTGAATTTTAACTGTACAGAAGAAACATTTCATTTTTATGAAATGTTTCTTCTTACTTTGAAAAGTAAGAAGTGTTGTCATTTATGTATTTACAACATATAAAAGCCTGCTTGTCATTTACTTCAATTTTTTTCTCCATCTTGACACAAAGCCTAATGTGGTTAGTCAAATGAAATGATGTGTGACATCCTTCCTTTACTTTAAGTGTGTTTCCTGCTAAATTTGCAAGACAAAACTTGAAATGGAAAAAGCATATAGTGACAGATTTGTGGTTCTAGTTTTTAGTGTGCCACTGAAGATCTGCTGAGGATGTTGGATAGCAGAAGGACATGTAACTCAATATAATCGAAATGGCAGTGGTGGGTGGCACTCTGGAAATGAATCATCCGGCTGAGAAGGATATTTAAAAAAAAAAAAACACAGAACAAACGTGGGCTGAGGAGGGAGACTTGAGGAACACCGCATTTAAAATGAATAGGAAACAGGAAGCAAGTATTAGCTAAGGCTGCTAAAGGCTGTTCTTTCAGAGAAGAAAGAGCCACTGACTGTAGAAGATCTTTATACAGCCATTGGTAAGAACATAGAAGATTAAAAGCGGATCTCTTAATTTTAACCTAGTTTGCAGAAGGTTTTTTGGCACTTAAAAAAGCTATTTAGGAATTAAATGATACTAAAAGAATGATTAGCAGCTTTAATGCTGTTTTATGTTCAAATGGGCAGATCAGCAGAGAACCAGCGGGTAGGGAACATCACTGTGGCGGCGTGGCAGATGGAGGAAAGAACAGATCAGAGGATGTCGATGGGACGTCTGCCAGAAAGTATCAACGGCCGGGTAAGAGGCTGGCAGCCACGGGCAGATTTATTTATCTTCCTTGTGATCTGAGTAGATATTTTCCATGATTGGCCAACACTGGCGTCAGTTATTATATCTGCAAGCTCAACAAATGTTCTGAGGTTAATTCAATTAATATAATTTTGCATTTGCATCAAAAGTTCTGATGTTTGCTTGTAAAGAATTTGATTAGACTTGTATACTTAAATATCTCAGACAGACTTCTGAGTGTTTACGCTTCATTGTCTCTCAAATGTTGGTAAAATGCTGCATGTTTGCTCCTGAGCCTTGCTTTCTGTGACTGCATATAAAGCATATATATTAAATGATCATGGTACAATAAAGACATCGCCATGTGGCAGTAAAGTCATTTATCTCGGGTTTGTGTAGAAGCTCTGGGAGTGTGGTGTAGGTGATAGTGGAGAGATAAAGGAAGGTGGATGCTGCCTGCCAGAGCTGACGTAGTATAATGTTGGTGCTTGTGCTTGTCCTGCAGACGGTGCTGCCTGTCGACGAGAGCCTGACGGAGTCGATGGGAGTCCGAATCAAGTACGCCTCGTTGTGCAAAGATACCCTGCTGCGCTCAGGTGGGACAGCTTTGCTCTGTGACTCGGTGTGTGCAAAGTAGCGTGGTGTTAGTAAGGTTTTGGTGAAGTTTTGTTTTTCTTTCTTCTTAAATCAGTTAAAATAACTTTGCTACATTGTCCTGTACTTTGCTGATATATTTCTAATCAGTTTAATTAAACATTTGGATCAAAATTGTTTAATCTGGTAACTGAGTAAGCATTTAAAGACATGAATGTTAAACAGATCTTCCTGCATTAAATGCCTTCATTAGAACCCTTTCACATAAGCCTAGAGATCAGTCCGTGGATCCCTGGCAGCCTCTGGTGGGAAGGAAAAATGTTTAATTCCTGGCTGGTTGTTGAGTGGTTGCTAGAAGCTGCTGCCAGTCACATGGTGGTGCACAATAAAACCTCCGTTAACAAGATGTAAGCTTGTTTAGAAACACTCGTTGTTTACTGTTTGAGTGAAAGTGAAACTCGGATAAACTGTCACACAAACCAGAAATGGCAAAAATTTGCCTTCAGTGTAAAAGTTGTGCCAACACACCACAACTTGTAGGTATTTTCTAATTGTTTTTTATTTTTATTTCATTTTGACTTTTGATTTTCAGTTGAGTTTAGTTTCAGTTAAGTTTCCAGAGTGGGTTTTCTTATTTCAGTTTAGTTTCTGTTGTTTGAAAATGTTTAGATATAATGTAGTTTATATTAGTTTCACTGGTAGTTTTAGTCTATTTAATTAAGGTTGAACAGGTTGATCAGGTCAAAGACAAAAAGACTCAATAAAAGTTTTTACCCACCGGCTGTCAAACATACCCTACCTCAGCCCTGTTTGAAGGATAACTGCACTGCCAACACTCATTACACTTTATTTATAAACCGTATTTTTATTCATACTATAAAGCAAACCAACATTCCTACCTTTGTAAACTGTATTTCTTATAACCGTATTTATTATAGTAGCAACAGCCCCCGCACACACTGAGTGTGTACCTCACAATGCACCTGCTCCTCAGATTGCATGTATGTGTATGTATATATGTAGGCGTGTATGTGGAAATATGTGTGTGTGTATGTGTATGTATGTATGCATGCATATATGTGTATATATGTGTGTGTGTGTGTATATATATATATATATATATACATATATATACAGTGGGGCAAAAAAGTATTTAGTCAGCCACCGATTGTGCAAGTTCCCCCACCTAAAATGATGACAGAGGTCAGTAATTTGCACCAGAGGTACACTTCAACTGTGAGAGACAGAATGTGAAAAAAAATCCATGAATCCACATGGTAGGATTTGTAAAGAATTTATTCGTAAATCAGGGTGGAAAATAAGTATTTGGTCAATAACAAAAATACAACTCAATACTTTGTAACATAACCTTTGTTGGCAATAACAGAGGTCAAACGTTTACTATAGGTCTTTACCAGGTTTGCACACACAGTAGCTGGTATTTTGGCCCATTCCTCCATGCAGATCTTCTCGAGAGCAGTGATGTTTTGGGGCTGTCGCCGAGCAACACGGACTTTCAACTCCCGCCACAGATTTTCTATGGGGTTGAGGTCTGGAGACTGGCTAGGCCACTCCAGGACTTTCAAATGCTTCTTACGGAGCCACTCCTTTGTTGCCCGGGCGGTGTGTTTTGGATCATTGTCATGTTGGAAGACCCAGCCTCGTTTCATCTTCAAAGTTCTCACTGATGGAAGGAGGTTTTGGCTCAAAATCTCACGATACATGGCCCCATTCATTCTGTCCTTAACACGGATCAGTCGTCCTGTCCCCTTGGCAGAAAAACAGCCCCATAGCATGATGTTTCCACCCCCATGCTTCACAGTAGGTATGGTGTTCTTGGGATGCAACTCAGTATTCTTCTTCCTCCAAACACGACGAGTTGAGTTTATACCAAAAAGTTCTACTTTGGTTTCATCTGACCACATGACATTCTCCCAATCCTCTGCTGTATCATCCATGTGCTCTCTGGCAAACTTCAGACGGGCCTGGACATGCACTGGCTTCAGCAGCGGAACACGTCTGGCACTGCGGGATTTGATTCCCTGCCGTTGTAGTGTGTTACTGATGGTGACCTTTGTTACTTTGGTCCCAGCTCTCTGCAGGTCATTCACCAGGTCCCCCCGTGTGGTTCTGGGATCTTTGCTCACCGTTCTCATGATCATTTTGACCCCACGGGATGAGATCTTGCGTGGAGCCCCAGATCGAGGGAGATTATCAGTGGTCTTGTATGTCTTCCATTTTCTGATGATTGCTCCCACAGTTGATTTTTTCACACCAAGCTGCTTGCCTATTGTAGATTCACTCTTCCCAGTCTGGTGCAGGTCTACAATACTTTTCCTGGTGTCCTTCGAAAGCTCTTTGGTCTTGGCCATGGCGGAGTTTGGAGTCTGACTGTTTGAGGCTGTGGACAGGTGTCTTTTATACAGATGATGAGTTCAAACAGGTGCCATTCATACAGGTAACGAGTGGGGGACAGAAAAGCTTCTTACAGAAGACGTTACAGGTCTGTGAGAGCCAGAGATTTTCCTTGTTTGAGGTGACCAAATACTTATTTTCCACCCTATTTACGAATAAATTCTTTACAAATCCTACCATGTGGATTCATGGATTTTTTTTTCACATTCTGTCTCTCACAGTTGAAGTGTACCTCTGGTGCAAATTACTGACCTCTGTCATCATTTTAAGTGGGGGAACTTGCACAATCGGTGGCTGACTAAATACTTTTTTGCCCCACTGTATTATGTATCCGTATGTATGCAGGTGTATGTATAACTTGTACATGTCTTTCTTGTGTAAATGTAAATTTGTCTGTGTTATTGTGTAAATACTTAGGCTATTGTGCTTTCACACTCATGGAGACATGCCAAACTGCCTTTCATTGTTCTTGTAAGAGTGACAATAAAGAGCATTCTATTCTATTCATATTGTATGCAGGCAAGTTAGAGGCAAGACCTAGGAATATCAGCATAGTTATTACAATTAAAAAACAATTAAACAACTGACAAAGATAAAATCTAAGGATATGTGCTCTATAATTAAGTTTCTTAAAATTCCTTCAATTTTATATTTTATTATATATATTATATTATATTATTATATATATATATTTATATAGAATATATAATATATATATATATATATATATATATATATATAATATAATTTATACTCCCAGTGTTTCATCTATGTTTTTATTTTTATTTTAGTTTACGGAAATGTTTTTTCATTTCTAGTTATAATTATAATCTTGAATCTGATTTTTTTAGTTTGGGTTGTACTTTTCACAGTTTCACTTTCCCTATGAGAGTAGTCAACAAATTTTAGAAGACAAGTCAGCGTCTTCCAAGCAAAGTTTTGGTCCCAAAAGTGCCCAGCAGCCTCTAGAAACCACCTGGTACCTGGGTGGGGAATACAAATTTTCCCCTATTGACCAGAGATTGTAAAATGGTTGGATAGTGGTCTGTAGCCCTGTGTCACTGAGACCTTAGGGTATTAGGTTTATGTGCATGGAAAACCAAAGGAGAAAGTGTGAAACAAACTGACTAACTCGTTGAAATTAATATTTAATAGTTTTAGTTTAATTTAATTTTAAAGATGCCAGGCAAAATGTATTCTGCACACACTGAATATTTTCTGAGTTAAAGTCCCTTGAGGACATAGTAGTGGCACTTTTTAACTCGCCTTACATTTTCCTGATACCAAATCAAATGTACACTAAGACTGTGATACTTCAAGTTTCATTGAGCGATCTTGTAAGCGTATAAATCATGGGATAAAACCTAGTTTCAATAGCCCCATTTCAGTGTGTAGGATGTAGAGGAACAGAAACGAGCATTGGTACCCTGAATGTTTGATCTGCTTTCTGATAATTCACAGGAAAAAAACTTCAAAAAGGCAAAACTTTGAAGACCCATATCACCATGTGGCATACATGAGTGCTCAAAACAAGTTACAACATATGAACGTGAACATTTTTACCTACATCTTTATACCAAGCTAATCTCCGAGCAGTAATTCCGTCTCTGGAAAGAAGTGACTCATTTGGACACTTTTACAGAGCTTCATTAACCCTTATAGTCATATATTCTGAGAGGAGTATGTCTTCTGAATTTCAACCCTGCACCTGTTGGTTTTTTATTTTTTCTCTCCTCGTCCTTCATTTCTCTAACTCACATTTTCCATCAACATGCAGTTGAGTTGTATTGATTGTCCCCGGTGAGTGGGAGGTGTCTGTTTACCTCAGGGATTGAGTGGCAGTCCAAAACTAACGGAAAGCAATAACGTTGTTTACTGAGAAAAACTTTGGTCAGATCTGTCTTCATCTAATCCAAGCTAACTGAATTTTGTGTTGCTTCAGTGTTTGGCGGCACGATGTCGAGGATGTACCGCTTCCCCACCACTGATGGGAACCACCTACGAGTGCTGGAGCAGATGGCCGAAAGCGTCTTGTCTCTAAACATTCCCAGACAGTTTGTCAAACTGCTGCTGGAGGAGGATGCAGCCAGGTACAGCCACGCATGCATTTCTAAAGTTTACCAATAAAGAACATGTTACTTGTTCTTACTTATTCTTCATTTCTTATACTGAATAAACTGAACCTCTGTCTGTAAAACTTTTTTCGCTCCTTGCTTTGTGCTTTTAAAGAATGCATAGTTTCTCAAAATGGGTTCAAAACAGGTTAACACTGTGTAAAATACAACATCAGATGTTTCAACTGCAATATTTATGCAGGTGGAGAATTTTAACAGCAGCCTGCTTAAATTCTATGAGACGTGGACATCATCACAACTGCTATTTCCTTCAACCATCACCAGAAATCAGATTTTCCCACCATTGCACTGTGAAGTCATTTTGATCACAAAATATAACAATGAAGTTGTTAAATATATTTTCCTTCAACTTTGGACATTGCCTACCTCATCAACACTCGACATCTTTAACCCTTATATGGTGTTCGGGTCTGTGAGACCCGTGTTCAGTTTTTTTCAAAAGAAAAATTAAACAATTAATTATTTTTTCACGTGTAAATGTGTTGTGTCTTTCCACTCACTCCACTTGATTATAACTGATTTATTTATAACATTTTATATAAAAGAAAAACGAGAAGCACATTAATTCATAAATGTGATCTAACAAAGGTAAAGGGAAAAAATTAACCATGTTTGCTGTTCATATGTCTTGTAATTGGGATGAAGTAAACATCTGTTGAGTAATTTAACATAAAATTGTTTGATAGTGTTAATTTGGAAAGCCAAAACTCTAGCAGGTCCACCAGACCCATGAACACTGGCTGAGTAACAAAAATACGAACACCACACAAGGGTTAAAGCCTGAGCTTTGACTCATTTCTTTTGTTTTCTTACTTGTTCGTCTTCAGTTTTTCTGTATTTTCCTGCTCTGTTTTCTTCCTCTTAGCTGTACGCCACTTTGGTCAGCTCTTGTTTTTAAAATGTGCTTACAAAGAAACTGAATTGACACGACTAATAAAAAAAAAAAAGGCAAAACTAAGTTCCTGTAATAACCAACAGGAGACCAATGATGTGTAAACTGACTTCGATATGGCTTACTGGTCAGTAGTTGGACAGTGTTTGCAGACAAGTGGGTGTCTTGTCTGCAAACACTGCTGCTGAGTACAGAAATCGGGTTGTCATCAGTGCAGTCACAAAGAGGTTTTTGTCGCACACAGCTAGCAACCACTTGCCAACTGGTTGGGGAATACAGTCTTTCATAGGCTTGTAACTGGTTTCGAGGCCTTTGTGATGGAGGCCAAATGAATATGACAAAACAAAAATTAGCAGAGACCTAAAATGCATGCTTTTGCACCATTACGGTTTATCCAGTGTTCCACTTCATAGATGCTCCCAACTCGGCGGTCTTGTGATTCATCTTCATAACCGTAGACAAGCTTGTGAACTCAATAATTGTTTCAAACCTTTGAGGGGTTAAATATTTAATACATAAAGAACAAGAATCTTAATTTTAAATTTTTTTATAGCTTAAACTTCATAATACCCAGTTTGACCTCTTCAGATGTTTTGTTTTCTCTACAGCAGCTTAAAACCCAAAGAAATTTACTTTATTGCTTCATTAAACTTTGTGTCCTTAGTTTCTATGGACAAAATTTCTAGTCATAGCCAGATAGTTGGACGATCTCAATTTTGGTGGCCTCAGAATATCATCTCTGCTTTTTCTAGATGATTCTGTTCTGTTGGCTTCATTGGGTAGAGGTCTTCAGCTTGCACCGGGATGGTTTGCATCTAAGTTGCAGAAATGATAATGAGCACCTTCAAGTCAGAGGCCATGGTCTTCAGCAAAGAAAGGGCAGAGTGCTCACTCCAGGTCAAGGATGACTTGTTGCCTCAAGGGGAGGAGTTTAGTTACCTTAAGGTCTTGGTTGAATGACGGATTGGGGCTCTGCTTTGGTGAAGAGAGAGCTAAGCATAAAAGCAAAGTGTTTGGTTTATCGGTCAATCTACCTCTCCACCCTCAACTATGATCGCAAGCTTTGGATAGTGACAGAAAGAATGAGATTGCAGATAGAAGTGACAAAATAACCGTTCTCTGAAGGGTGGACAGCCTCTGCCTTTGTAATAGGATGGAAGAGTTCAGTCATTGGGGAGACATTTGGATTAGAGCCACTGCTCCTTCACATCAAAAGGAGGCAGCTGAGGTGATTCTGGCATGTGATTTGGATGCCTTATGGATACCTCCTGGGTGAGGTGTTTCCGGCATGTCCTGCGGGGAGGAGGCCCCAGGGCAGAGCAGGGCTCGGTGGAGAGATTGCATCTCTTGGTTGGCTTGGAAATAATTCAGTTTTCCCCCAGATGAGCTGGAAGAGGCGGCCAGGAAAAGGGAGGTCTGAGTTTCTCTGCTTAGACTGACCAAACCCATGACCTTGAACCTGGATGTATAGGAGAGGGAGGATAAATGAAAGGATGTTACATTAAACCAAAACAAACAGCAAATTATCCCGTCCGAGAAGCTGAAATCAGAGAAATTCCTTAAATTATGGAAATTATTTCTGATTATGGATAATTGCCACAGCTCTTATTGAAAGTCATTTGAAATGCATATTGAAGCGAGCGCAGTACTTGATGATTCATTTTTTCCTCTTTCTAACTATTCCGTCTGCAGGGTTTGTGAGTTGGAGGAGTTGGGAGAGTTGTCCCCCTGCTGGGAGAACCTGCGGCGGCAGATCGTCTCTCAGTACCAGAACATAATACTCGCTTACCAAGAGACACTGTCTGACCTCAGTGAATACAGAGGTCAGTGTACGTGCAGGCCCGAGTACACCTAAAAGAAAAGTTAAAAAGATAACGACTAAGCTTCTTCGTCTCTTTGTCAGGCCCATCATTCAAAGCCAGTAACCTGAAAGCAGACAAGAAGCTGGAGTTCATGCCCACTAACCTTCACGTTCAGAGGATGAGGGTGCAGGATGAGCTGGGTTTTGGTTAGACACGAATACAAATTATTAAAAAACAAATCTTGCTGTGATTGCACGCACTTCTTGTTGTGCCTTTAAAACGTCCTTGTTTGTCTTTCCAGAACAGACATATGATGTGGTAACAGTCGGCGCCCCGGCCGCTCACTGCCAGGGTTTTAAGAACGGCGGTCTGAGGAAGATCATCCAGAAGTTCGAGGAAGCAAAGAAACAGTAAGTTGAGCACAAAGTGGGGCGTCACATAGGAAAATGAAAGAGGTGGGGGGAAGGAAGTTGCGATGACCTCTGCTCCTGTTTTGGGTTTTTATATTTTGCTTTATTCATCTTGTGATTTGTATTTAAACAGTTGTTTTTTTTTGTCATCTTTGTTTCTTCAATTTCTGCATTAATCCTGCAGTTCCCTTTTTATGGCTTCCTCTTAATTTTGTTTTTGTTACTTTTCCGATCAGCGTATATGAGGAGGAATGGTGAGTCGTTGCACTGCTTTGCTTGTTTTCATTTGACATTTCTAAAAAATACAAAATAAAAAATCACACTTTCATAGATCCTTAAGATTTGTACAACAATGTATTTTCAGTTTTAAGCTGGAAGAATGGGGTTTTGCATAGCTTATTATGTTAATGCAAAGAAATAACGGCACGTGGCGCATCAGTCTTAACAGTGTTGTGTTAACTAATATAGAACTAAAATGTGTGTCGTCTTAAAGCGAGCACAAGGTTTGTCACAAAGTTGTTTGAATACTGCTCACTTTATAAATTCAGTCATAATTTTAAAGTCCATTAAAACATGTTTCTGTGCTTAAAAAGTCAAACCCTGACAATATTAAAGAGACATCTTTAAAATTCTTCTACATGAGATGGTCTGAATTTGTGAAGCGAGTGGTATCGTTCCCCGTCCCTGGCGTTTATTGAAGTCTGCTCCATGTTGTCTCTCCAGTCCATTAAGAGCAGGCATGTGCATGCAGACACTGTATGTTTGTACATCTGTGAAACACTAAAGTTAAGAGTAGTGGGTAATGTCTCTCACTACGTTTTTGAAACAGACCCTCTGAAGCTTGATTTAGACTTCTGCAGGAAGTTTACGTTCTAAGACGTAACCGAAACCCTTCTTATACCTAAACAGTTTGCTGCTATAGTATTCTGTTTCCAGTTACAGCGTATATTTCCTGCTGAAGCATATTTCAGACATAAGACAGAAACATTACAAAAATATACACCTACAGGCCACTTTATTAGGTGCACCTTGTCAGTACCGGGTTGGACCTTCAGAGCTGCCTTAATTCTTTATCGCACAGTTCAGCAAGGTGCTGGAAACATTCTTCAAAGTTTTCGGTCCATATTGGCTTGATGGCATCACACATTTGCTGCAAATTTGTCAGCTGCACATCCATGATGTGGATCTCCTGTTCTACCAAATCCCAATGGTGCTCTGTTGCACTGAGATCTGGTGACTGTGGAGCCCATTTCAGTACAGTGAACTCATCCTCATGTTCAAGAAACCAGTTTGAGATGATTTCATCCAACCTGAGGCAGGATGGATCCATGCTGTCATATTGTTTATGACAAATTCTCACCCTACCAACCAAATGTCACAGCACAAATTCAGGCTCATCAGATCAGGTGACATTTTTCCAGTTCTCTGTTGTCCAGATTTGGTGAGCCCGTGTGAATTGTAGCCTCAGTTTTCTTGTTCTTAGTTGACAGTATTGTATTCAGAGCTGCTCTTCTGCATACCTTGGTTGTAATGAGTGGTGGCTTATTATTGCCTTCTTATCAGCTGGCTGACTGGCTATTCTCCTCTGAAGGCATTTTTACCCAGTGAACTGCCACTCACAAGTTATAGCCTTAGTTTCCTGATCTTAGCTGACAAAAGTTGGATCTTTATGGTCTTCTGTGGTTGTGGTTGTCTGACAAAGTCCTAGTAGATCAGCAGTTTGTGAAATACTCAGACCAAACAACCATTTAAAGTCAATTAAGTCACCTTTCTTCTCCATTCTGATGCTCAGTTTGAACTACAGCAGGTTGTTTTGACCATAAATGCACTAAATTGCTGCCATGACCAGTTGAACAGATGTACCTAATAAAGTAATAAAGCACCTAATAAAGTGGCTGGTGAGTGTAGAGTATCCTCAGTCCCAGCTCGGATACAGACGTGTCTGTGTGTCTTTGTTCCCTACAGTAGCGCCCTCTCCAGCTCTCAGTCCATCATCTACATACCCCAGGACATTGTCCGAGCCAAAGAGATCATCGCCCACATCAACACGCTGAAGACTCAGGTCAGCTACTACGCAGAGAGGCTGTCTCGAGCTGCCAAAGACCGATCGGCCAGCGGACTGGAGTGGACGCTCGCCAGTCTGGCTGATAAGGTACAAAAAGTTTTTGGAAGTGATGTGACGTTACGTGGGAACGCTTCTTATTTCATCATATATCATTCATACCTTCTTCCTTTCAGACCCGTCAGCTGGTGACAGTGTGCGACTGCAAGCTGCTAGCTTCAGCTATTCAGGCCCTGAACGCAGCGCGGCCCGAGTACATCGCCTCCAAAGCGTCTCCTTCAGCTGAGTCCGAACAAGTAGTGCTCCGCAACGACCAGGATACACTGACAGCAAAGTACAGCGGTCGCAACAGCCGGTCTTCACTGCATGTGGACTGGCACGAAGAGGAATGGGTGAGTTCATCAGCAGTTTTTGGCTGTTTTTTGATTCCAGATTTATTTATTTATTTATTTTCGCATGAGAACAAATGAGCTTCTTGGCACGCGTTGTGCATACAGCTTAAGATCTTAACTACACTCTGTACCAAGCTGGATGACAACCAGTCTTCAGAAGAGGACACGCAGTTTGTAATTTAACAGATTTCCAACTGAAAGTAGAAAAAACAGGTGAAACTCAAAAAGGAGAAGCTCTGGGTTCATTTTTCAATCTTTTTTTATTTTTAGCCATCTGTTAGCTTATATAACTAAAACGCAGTATCTGAAAAAACACGTGAGTGGTGGTTAAAGCTTCAGGATGCTTATAAGTGAACTTTTGAGCTCATGTTATTGAAAATATATGCACAACTACGCATCAGAATATTTAAATGATTATCCTTTAACAGTGCCAGTTTCCATCTTATTATTTAAGTTCTTGTCACTTTGTTATTTAGATTTTGCACTTATCACATTTTTTGAATATAGTAGCAGAAAAAAAACAAAGTTTTTGTTTTTATATGTCACTACTGTAGATAAATATCATATAACAAGAACAGAAACTTCAAATGACAAAGGAAAGACATTATGCAGTCATCACACAGTCTTCATAGAAATGGTGGCTTCTCTGACACTGCTTAGTGGTAAATGATGCGCAAAATATCTTTATTTAAATTTAATGAACTTGAAGTGACATTACTGTCATGAGTGCATTTTGCCTCTGTGTACTGAGACGAGGGTCATGTAATGAAATCCATGAATCTTCGCTGATTGAATTCCTCCTCTCCTTCCTCTGACTTGAGTATAATTCCCTGCTGTAATTTATTTCTTCAATAAAAACAGTACTGTGTCCTGAACTTCCCCTCATTTAGTTATATTTTGCTTCCAGGAGGACAGACTTTCTTTTGTTTGTAAAGTACTCTTGAGCAATACTTTTCCAGGCTTTCTTAAGGTGTTTCAAAGTGTTTCTTTGGACGCTGGCTGCTTTTTTTTTTTTTTTTTTTTTTTTTTACTCTTTTTCAGTCCAGTCCTTGTACCTGAACATTTCCACAGAAATGTGCTTTGGAAATCTGTTTTTTCTTATTTCCGTTGTGTTTTGTGTGCCTTTGCAACATTTTTCTTATTGCTGGTGTTTTCTTAAGTTGCAGTCCGTTTGGCCTCTCAGGGCCACCGTAGAACTATCACCTGAAATCATCTGATTGACAACAGCTTCATTTTTCAGCATGACAATGATCCCAAATACACAAGGAATGCAGTAAAAGAATACCAGTGGAGTAATATCAGTCATGGATTGGCCTCCCCAGAGCCCAGACCTCAACATTATTGAAGCAGTGTGGGATCATGTGGACAGAGAACAGAACAAAAGGCAGAAACATCCAAAGAAGAGCTTTGAATGTCCTGCAAGAAGCCTGGAGAACTATTCCTGAAAACGACTTAAAGACATGACAAGAAAGCTGCCTAAGAGAGTTCAGACTGTGCTGAAGTATAAAGGTGGTCACACCAAATATTGACTTTCAGGCTCAGAGTTGTAACGCTGTTTCTAATTGAAACTACATACAAGCAAACATTTATAGCATAAGGAGAATAGGAGAAACTGATCAGGAGGGCTAGCTCTGTGGTCGGCATGAAGCTGGACACTCTGGTGACAGTGGCAGAGAAAAGGACATTAAAGAAACTGATGGACATTATGGACAATGCCAGGCATCCTCTGCACACGGCCATTAACAACCAGAAGAGTCTGTTCAGTGACAGGTTGCTTCTCCCCAAGACAAGAACTAACAGACTTAAAAACTCCTTTGTCCCACACGCCATCAGACTGTTTAACTCCTCTCTGGAGGGGAGAGGGAGGGGAAACAGGAGGACAAAGGAGGGGGGAACAACTAAGCTGTAGTGCCTCTTCACCTCACTGTGCAATACCTTTGTGCAATACTTTTGTAAATAGTCAACAGTGCAATAGACCTCAATACTTGAAATGTGCAATTCACTTGTATTTTTATTTTTTATTCCTATTTATTCTATTTATCCCCTTCGTATATTTTATTTATATTGTCTCTGTATTATATATATATATATATGTGTGTGTGTGTGTGTGTGTGTGTGTGTGTGTATATATAATATTCTGTAACTTCGGTCGTTGCTGTGCTTTTTTGGAAATCGAATTTCCCAGAGGAACCCACCCGAGGGATTAATAAAGTTCTATCTTATCTTATCTCATATATACAAAGAAATTAGGAGTGGTGTGAGACGTGCACGTTTTTTACTCCTTTTTTGCACATAAATATTTTCAAAGTGTCACCTTTCCTTTTTTAGCACATTACTTAAAGACGCTCTTTTGATTGGTTTGTTACTCTCTAAAATTGAAGCTGAAACAGCTGAATGTTGTAAACATGTCCTCTCAGGAGAAGGTGTGGTCAAATGTGGATAAGTCTCTGGAGTGCATCATCCAGCGCGTCGACAAGCTGCTTCAGAAAGAGAGGAGACCCAGCGTCGGCAGTCAGGACAGTACCCAGAGTGACCAGCAGGGTGGCAGCAGTAAGAAAGGTAAGAGACTCTTACAGTTTTTTAGCTGTAGTTTACTTCTGTGCCCTCTCATCAGCACTCTTTAATTTATGCTTGCAGTGTTATACTGTTTCCGGGGGGTGAGATGCATGTGTTGCTAACATGTTAATCTGGCTCAGAGGTGGTAAACTGTTGGAGGAAAACAGTGTCAATATGATTCAAGAGCTGGTAAATGTCTTTACTGACATGCTTTTGGTACCATTAATAGGAATCTGCAAACTGGAGGACTAAAAAATGCACAGCAAAGTCAAAAGATTGCATTTTAGTGAGTTAGGGAGCCATAAGAGTGGGAGTTGGTATAAAAAGTCTAGAATAATATGGGATTACTTTGAAACCAGCTTGGATCTCTTAGTTATGAGGTCCTTTATGTTGTGAAACCAGACGGCACAGGTGAGGGATCAGAAACTGCACAGGACCACAGTTTACAGCAAAAAAAAGACTCTAAAGAAGAGGCCAGAAGCTCATGAGCCCAGTGTTTACCTCGTTTATAGGAGCCATGAGATCTGCAGTTATGAGTGAGCAGATGTCCCAGTTGTGGGACTACGTTGTTTTTTTTATATCCCTCGGCTCTCCCTGTCCCACAGAGTAAGACAGTATTCCTGGAGTCTGGCTTTAAACCCGGAGCAGGTTAAACCTCTCGCAAGTCACCGATAAGATGTCAGCAGCTCTGCAGAGTTCAGAGAAAAATACCACAAAGAGACAGTAAATACTGAGAAATAGAGTTTTGCTCTTGTTTGTTTCCAACATAGACAGATATAGTGTGAAGTTATCACCACTTGGAATTAGAAGTCAATTTCACCCACCCGTTCTCTTTATTTATTTAAATAAGAAAATTGAAATATTCTCGTTGTTTTATACTAAAGTTCTAAACTTGTTTGCTGACCCCTTGATTTTTTTTATGTGGGTGTGAAAAGGCGATGGTGGGAAGTGTTTAGCTTTCTGGATCAACCCAGAAAGTACGTCAGGGGAATCTCCATCCTTACCATCATCATCATCATCATTAGAACCACCTCCACCATCAGCATCATCATCTCCACCACCATCCTCTTCCTCTCAGCTTGCCCTCTCCTCTGCACGGCCTCCCAGCCCCGAACAGAAAACCTGTAGGTTTTGTTTTTTTCCTGTTTTTTCTCTTCTTCTTCTTCTTCTTCTTCTTGAGTCATCCCTCCACATCTATTTTCAGCTCAGGTCACTGCTTACTTTTAAGAAGTTGGAGGATTCATGAGCAGATTTTTCCTTCACCTCATCAGCCAACTTTATTCCTTGAGAAAATGCTCTTAAATGACTCGTCTTTAAAAAGCATTCAGTGTTTTATGTGTGGTCTGCGTGTCTTTATGTGCACAGTGTTGCAGCAGTACTGTAGCAATGTAGCTGTTGTATCTGAGATTTTCTACATGTTGTAGCAGACCAGGGTCCAACATCTGTCCAAATTCCCCCCAAAACACACTAGATTTTCATAAAATAAGACAGAAAAGAGTTCTTCCTCGTGAGCCATTAGAGAATAAGGATGTTTGGACTCTGGTCTGCAGTGTTTCTTCTGTGTTGTCTCTGCTGCCCTCTATGGCGTACAGTGCTGCTAATCATGCATGTCGCACCTCCAACCCCTCTTCCAGATGGAAGCCCCAATGCTGAGGAGGCGTATCCAGGTAAGAGCTGCCTCCCCACATGTGCTCCTCTCACTCTACTCACTTTTCCAGACGGATTTTGATAAGAAGTCCAGGCAGAGATATTCCAATGTCTGGACTGAGTAAACTCCAACAAACCCTGAAATAGTTACAAAAACTCATTATTTATTTATTTATTTTTAATAGCTACAGTGATTGACTCATTTTTAATACCTAAATCTGCCCTCAGTCCAAAAAACCCCCACAAATCAGTGTCACTGTTTTAGAATCTGCTGTGACTGCTCTAAATTTGCACCTTTTTCTTTACATAAAGACTATTTTTTAAGAACAAGCCTGACAGCGGGCTTTTGACTCAAACAGCTCTGTCAGATCTCTGCAAGTGTTTTTAGGTTCTTTCCAGCAGGATTTGTGGCTAGTCCTATGGCTTCACCCTAAAAGATTTCAGTGTGTGTGCTTCTCCTTTCCCCATTGTCCCTCTTGTCTTTTTGTTCTGTTTCTGTCAAATTTAACAAGAAGTGGACTCTGAAAAACACAATCTTTGCTACTTGGTGTGGAAATTATTGGTTTGAAGGCATATTTGTGCTTGGTCTCTCATGGTTTATTTGCACTTGTTGCAGGCGAGTGGAGCGAGGCACTGTACCCTCTCCTCACCACGCTCACGGACTGCGTTGCCATGATGAGCGACAAAGCCAAGAAGTCTATGGTCTTCCTGCTCATGCAGGACACCGCTCCGACGATAGCCATGGACGTGTCACTGCAGTACCGCCGCGACATTGTCTTCTGCCAAACGGTCAGCACGCAAACATCATCCAAGTGACTCAGACACACTCACCTACACATATTTCTGTTAATGTATGTCTGAGCTGATGTGTTTATCCTGGAGTGACTCAAAGTGAAGGAAAAGGCCAAGAAAAGTGTAAATATCGTAAAAGCAAGGAGTTCAGAGCTATATGACTTTGTGGCTTTACGGTATTCATATGACTATTAAATGTCTGAATAAAGAGTAAAGGCAAAGGGAGCACAGCAAGTAAGGATTTCACACTCCCACTCACCTGAGACTGCAGTTATAAAGAGGATATGATGCCAGATGTAGTCCTCAAAGTGGATCCCTCCTTCGGTATTTTTAGAGGCTCTTTGCGATTGTAGTTTTTGGCAAACCCTCTTGTCTGACTCACATCACTTATATTTACCCAGCGGTGGATCCCTGCAGCTCTTAAATGAGCAGCTAGGACTCAGACACTTCAAGTTAAACTCTAATCCAAGCATTAAGTAAAGAAGTAAGAATAGCATTTCATAATAGTCAGCTATAATCAGAGCTGAAATACTTACAAGTAATCAGTCAAGCATTTTCAAAGCATAAAGCTAAATATTCTAAAATTTCTTTTTGCGCCATTCAAGTGGTTTGAGTTTCATTGCTCCAAAGCAATGTTTAAAGACGGTGAGATCCTGTTTTCTGACATTGTTAATGCTTTGATTATAGTTCTCAGAAATGACCCACATGTGTTGAGAGTGGCCTTCCATCACTGGCACATCCATCGTTTTTCCCTATGCTACAGTCACACTCTGGGAAAACAGTGGTTGGAGGCCACTGCATGATCACCTCCCCCACCATGCACATTGTAATCTTGTTTCCTCTGAAATTGTTGCTTCAAAGACGGCGACCAGGTCTGATAATACGGCGATTAACTATGATAAAGCTGAGAAAATTTGAAATCTCTTGCCGTCTACATACACAGACATTCACATCAACTACTTACATTTGTAGATTTGACAGAAAAATTCAGAAATTCCTCCATTGGCACTCGGCAATTTTCACATAACCACGATACAACCAGTTTGCAACCACTTAAGTTCAGTCCTCTATTGTAAAAACACGTGTCCCAGAATTGCTGCGCTCATCTGTGCAGACTGATTGCAATATGTTGACAATCTGTCTGTGTTTATAAATTAGACAACAGTTATTTGCAGATCTTTATCATTCTGCCTCAGAGTGATTGCAGTCGGTCTGAGTTGGACTGCAACTATTTGGAGACAGGTTGCCTCCCAGTAGGCAGTCGGATTTATTATTTTCCTTTCCTAGCTGTAGAGATGGCTGTCATTTTGTTTTTACTATAGTGTGCTGGGCCATTAATGGCTCGCCCAGTTCTCAGAGGGGCTGGAGCGTATCCCAGCTATCATTGGCGCCATCACAGGCACCTAAGGCCAACGTAGAATCACTGGTCAGTCTAACATACTGGGGGTTATATTTACTCATCAAATAAAAATATCTTCCTGAGTTTGGGACTCTGCAGGCAGAATTTCAGACTCTGTTTCAACCATGCATTAAAGAGCATATTTAAGAGCACACAACTGCAAACTCAATAGTGATCCTCAGCCATTCAGGGTTTGTTGGGTGTATAACATTTCTGATCGTCTTCAGTCAGATCAGTGTGAAGTTAGCTTCTGGCAGTGTGAACTGAAAATCAGTTACATAAAACTTGTCAGTGCAGTCCTCAAAAGCGTGCGCCGCAACACGCTGAGCTGCACAAGGATGCACAGAAACCAACCGCATGAGTCCACTTACATAATGTGATAAGCAGCCAATCGGTGGTGTCTTGATGTGAAACCATATGTTGATTTGCATTCGAGAATATGATGCAGGTTTAAAAACCGACACTGCAGTCAGTGTCGGGTGTGTTAAAAATGAAAGTGTGATCTGAATTGTAAATTAAATGTAAGATTTTTGTGGTAATTACAGCTTAAATCATGTGTCGTTTAACATTTCAAGGAATCTGCAGTGAAAGTACTTTGAATTTGACTTTATTTAAACTGCACAGATTCACAGCAGCAGCAGGCATCAGTGACAACAGACACAGGCGATTAATGCCGAGCTCAGACTGCAGGATGTCTTTGTGTGTAGTGATGATCAGTGTGCTACACAGACAGCTATAGAGTCGTTTTGCTTCCTCATTGCTTTTTTGGTCAGGTTTATGGTTGAAAAACACTGTACTCATATTTGTCGACCTCACAGACGTCAGATTTCAGATGGGACATCAAATGCAGCTCAGTTTCATATTAAAGACGAAAGGAACACTATTATAGCTCAGTCACACTAGAGCAACAGTTGCAAGGAGGAAAGGAGGAAAACTTCCCACTTTTGATTGTAAGCCACAGGTTGACTGGTGGGAGGCTGGCGTGGACCGGGGTTGCAAAGCAGCTTGCAGCAGTAGCCTTTGGCTGATGATGGTGTCAGACCGCTGCTTTAAAAGTTTATAAAACTGAGCTTGGAAAACAACAAACTGACTCTTTCTTGTCTGACCTGCTGTTCGAGTTCATGTATGTGTGTGTGTGTGTGTGTTACAGCTCACCGCTCTCATCTGCGGCTTCATTATCAAGCTGAGGAACTGTCTCCGTGACAACGGATTCCTGCGACAGCTCTACACCATCGGCCTACTTGCTCAGTTTGAGTCCCTGCTCAGCACCTACGGTACAAACACACTCAAATCTTTTTCTAATCGCACACAGCTGCTTGAGCCTCTGATTTCCAGTGTGTGTGTGTCTGCAGGAGAGGAGCTCGCCATGCTGGAGGACATGAGCATCGGCATAATGGATCTACGCAACGTCACCTTTAAGGTGAAGCAGCATGCTAACTGTCTTTCCAGGCTGTAGAGCCACTCTACGAGGATAATATTAGGAGGCCAGAGGTCTGGGTGGAGCTGGCATGAAACGTGGAAACGGTCACATAGATTAGACCCACTCTGAAGACACGATTTGGAGTAAATGTACTGCAGAACTCAACTGAATGAGGATGTGTTTACTGACCTTTTTATTGTAGTTTTCCTGGCTTTGCATTAAAAAAGACATGAAAAGTTTTGTGTTAAACGTAAACAAGCAGAGTGAAGCTATAAAGTGCAAACATGGACTCTGTCCATTAAAACTGCACAAAAACAGTTTTTTATTTTGAAAACTTTGGATTTTTTTGTCCCTTCCTGTGGGACAAAAAACTATACAATCTTTCCAGGGAGCTCGGAGTCTAACTCAGCTCTCTGTGAATGGTACTCATGGTCACTGGTCAGTCAAGAAGGATGAGGAAACGAGGAGGTGAATGTATGGTTATGGAGTCTGAAGAATTCGGTGTTACGACGTATCTTTAATACAGAAGTACAAATCCCTCTCTGATTAAGCTTGTGATCAAAGTTGAGTCAGTTTAATACTGAAGCTGAGGTTTGGTCTCTGCAGAGTTGAGGACATGCTCAAAAACTTGCAGCCTCGCTGGACGGGCTCTGTTAATTTTAATTGAGTATTTATTTTGCTTTTCACGGGCACTTGGTTCACAATTTCCATCTAGGTATTAAAGCTGCGTATACATGTACCTTTGCTCCTTTAAGGTCACCCAAGCAACCGGCACCTCCACCCCCGAGATGCTGCCGATCATCACAGGTAACCGGGATGGCTTCAATGTCCGCATCCCGCTGCCGGGGCCCATGTTCGAAGCCCTGCCCCGAGAGATCCAGAGCGGCATGCTGCTGCGGGTGCAGCCGGTGCACTTCAACGTGGGAATCAACGAGCAGCAGACGTTGGCCGAGAAGTGAGTGAGCACGTCCGGGATTTACCACCACAGGTGTTTGAGATTGGAAAAAATATTGTTTTGTGTGTTTTTCAGGTTTGGAGACACATCCCTGCAGGAGAACATAAACTCTGAGAGTCTCTCCAGACTGAACTCGTACTACGAGCAGTTCAAAGAAGTCCTGCCGGAGGACTGTGAGTACACAGTTTTCACGTTTTTCCTTCTTTCTAACTTGCACCACAAACCATTAGTGTCGCAACTCCTGCTTTAACCCTTCTTTTTTCTGTTCTTATCTACTTTCAGGCCTCCCGAGGTCTCGCTCTCAGACGTGCCTTCCTGAACTGCTCAGGTTTCTCCGGCAGAATGTCAACGCCAGGAAAAACAAGAACGTAGACATCCTGTGGCAGGCTGCGGAGGTGACATTTGCGCTCTTTTACTCAGAATGTCCGACTGCTTTGTTAGCAACTTTTAATTCTCCAGTAGGATTTTACTGCATTATAAATTTTACAGCTGCTTTTCTGTTAGGGAAAATATTCTAAAACACTTCTTCAGTAAAGACTCAGAGAAGAGAAACACACAGAGTTCTTGCTAGCAAGGGCAGTCTCAGAGACTCGCGCTGAGCTTTGCCCTGGTCTTTATTTATACTTCAGTGGTGTGTGTGTGTGTGTGTGTGTGTGTGTGTGTGTGTCCTGCTGATCAAAGGGTCATAAAAGCACAAAAGATACATCCTTGGTCAGGAAAGGGTAGTCTCCCCCTCACCCTAAATAACATGGTGAGGAAGTCCAGCAGTTCATCTATATGTAAAGAAGCACTTAAGCTAAAACAGACATAGCTACGTTAATCCTGCCGTAAAACAATAAGAGAAGGTATGACCTCTCTCGTGCTCCAGGATGTGGGTGTGCATTCTAGTGTGGAATACACACCAAGCCTTTGCAGCCTGTTAGAGATCACACACAATTAATTATATGCCTCTAAATATACATGGTTGAATATTTCCTAATACAAATAACTACATGCAGTACTCTACCATATGCAAACGTATATCACTAAAAGATTATACTGACTACTAAATACAATTTTCCATTGACATTTTCTCTGAAGATGTCAAAAACGAAATCATCAGCGGTGACTCACCTCTCCTCCCTGCTTGCCTCACCATCTCAGATCTGCCGGCGGCTGAACGGCGTTCGCTTCACCAGCTGCAAGAGCGCCAAAGACCGCACCGCCATGTCCATCACGCTGGAGCAGTGCCTGATCCTGCAGCATGAGCACGGCATGGCGCCGCAGGTCTTCACGCAGGCCCTCGACTGCATGCGCAGGTAGGATGCCCTCACAGTGGCCGAATGGAAAAATGCACAGCTGCAAATCGCACCTGGGCAAAAAAAAGACAACTTTTACTAAATAAATAACTTCTGTGCAGGGATGAAAAGATCAGGAGTTCATCAGTGTGCTATTTGGTAATCTGACTTTAACTGTTCTCCATGTAGTTTTAACCAATGGGAATACAGTAGGTGTTTAAATGGTGTGTTAGTGGTTACTTCTGTCCCACTTCAAATATGTGGATCCGTCTGCTGTGGGAAATAAGGGAGCAGTGTCTTACTTTTTCTTTTTTAAACTAGAAGATAATATATTTTATGGAGGCTTATTTTCACACTGAAAAACTTTTTTTTTTAAATATATTTTTGATAGTATTTTGTAATACAAGTCAAAATTTCTTGTCGAGAACTTGGTCATTTGAGAGGTATTCCAGGCATGTCCTATCAGGAGGAGGCCCCGAGGCACTTACAGGATTTGCTGGAGGGATTATGTCTCTCAGATGGCTTGGGAGCAACTCAGTTTCCCCTCCTGGATGAGGTGGATGACGTGGTCAGGGTGAGGAAAGTCCAGACGTCTCTACTCAGACTGCTGCCTCCATGACCTCTGTCATGTGAAAGTACAGTTCGGGGGCCTCCTCCCAGTGGGACATGTCCGGAACACCTCACACAGGGGGCATCCTTGTCAGATGCCCGAACCACCTCAGCTGGCTCCTTTCAATGTGGAGCAGCAGCGGCTCTACTCTGAGCCCCTCCCGGATGGCCGAACTTCTCACCCTATCTCTAAGGGAGAGGCCAGCCACCCTTCGGAGGAAGCTCATTTCCGCCGCTTGTATCCGCGATCTCGTTCTTTCGGTCACTACCCACAGCTCGTGGCCATAGGTGAGGGTAGGGACGTAGATTGACCAGTAAGTTGAGAGCTTCGCTTTTACACTCAGCTCCCTCTTCACCATGACGGACCGGTGCAGCGTCCGCATCACTGCGGCCGCTGCACCAATCCGTCTGTCGATCTCCGGCTCCCTTCTCCCATCACTCGCGAACAAGACCCTGAGATACTTGAACTCCTCCACTTGGGGCAGGAACTCATCCCCGAAAACCGCATTGTTCCTCCTGTATCCGAGGTTCGACTAGCGGACGAACTCTCCTTTCCAGCACCCTGGCATAGACTTTCCCAGGGAGGCTGAGGAGTGTGATCCCCCTGTAGTTGAAACACACCCTCCGGTTCCCCTTCTTAAAGATGGGGACCACCACCCCGGTCTGCCAGTCCAGGGGTACTGCCCCTGATCTCCACGCAACATTGTAGAGGCGTGTCAACCAGGACAGCCCTACAACGTCCAGAGCCTTCAGGAACTCGGGGCGGACCTCATCAACACCAGGGGCTCTGCCACCAAGGAGTTGTTTAACCCCTTAGCAGTCCTATTAGTCCCCTAAACCATCCAATGTCCCGTGGGCGGTACGTCCGACTGCTAACAGTTTAACTGCCTCAGTTCCCGGAAATTGGCGGGTCATCCCCAGACTCTGCTTCCTCCTCGGAAGACGTGTCAGTGGGATTAAGGGAGGTCCTCGAAGTATTTCTTCCACCGTCCGACAATTTTCTCAGTTGAATTCAGCAGCACTCCGCCAGCACTATACACAGTGCAGGTAGAGCACTGCTTTCCCCTCCTAAGACGCCTGATAGTTTGCCAGAATCTCTTCAAGGCAGTCCGAAAGTCTTTTTCCATGGCCTCTCCAAACTCCTCCCACACCCGAGTTTTCGCTTCAGCCACTGCCCGAGCCGCATTCCGCTTGACCTGTCAGTACCTGTCAACTGCCTCCGGAGTCCCACAGGCTAACCAAGCCCGATAGGACTCCTCCTTCAGCCTGGAGGCTCCCTTCACCTCTGGTGTCCACCATTTGGTTCGGGAATTACCACCACGGCAGGCACCAACCACCTTGCGGCCACAGCTCAATGCAGCAGCTTCGGCAATGGAGACGCTGAACATGGTCCATTCGGACTCAATGTCCCCAGTCTCCCTCGGAATGCTGTTGAAGCTCTGCCGGAGGTGTGCGTTGAAGATCTTGCAGACTGGGGCCTCTGCTAGGCATTCCCAGCACACCCTCACTACACGTTTAGGTGCACCGGGTCTGTCCAGCATCCTCCCCCCGCCACCTGATCCAACTCACCACCAGGTGGTGATCAGTTGACAGCTCAGCCCCTCTCTTTACCCGAGTGTCCAGAACATATGGTCGCAGGTCTGGTGATACGATTACAAAATCGATCATCGACCTGCAGCCTAGAGCGTCCTGGTGAGGAAAGTCCAGACGTCTCTGCTCAGAGTGCTGCCTCCGTGACCTCTGTCTTGAGTCTGTCATGCAGTAAGAAATGGCTGCGTGGAGCTCAGGCTTGTGAGGAAAAAAATATTTTTAAATTTCACGAAAATTGCTTTTTCAGGGGCGATAACAAGCTTCCATAATATTTGGTTGAGTCCTGTCAGAACATCAGCACAAACACTGTCAGCGGCTCCATTTCAGACTAGTGGAGGTGAAGTCTGCACGTCAAAGCAGCCAGTTTCAGCCGCATGCAGTTGTTGGTTAAAGAGACTGAAACCAGGCTGTCAACATGTTTATTTTTGCTGTAATGATGGACATTTTAGCATGGCAGTCTATGGTGACTGACTCACTGTTGAAGTCAGCCTCAGGCAGACGTTTGAGGTACTTGGTCAGTTTAATTTTTCAGTCCTTGTTGGCACACGTCTGTAAGAGAAAAGAGATATATCATTTCCTTCTGCGTCCACACATCAGTGCATGTCAAAGTTTTCTTTTGTGCCAAGGTGCCTCAGTGATGCTTGTTAGTACCCCCCTCTACATGTATATTACAAACAGGAACCACAGACAAGCACATTTCTGACTTTCTCAAAATTCAGAAGGACAAATGTCCACTTTAAAATGTGGAGACATGGCTGATGTTACGCAGCTCTAGGGAAGTACATCCACAGCTTCTCAGATTCAGTGTTTTACTTTATTGAATCTCTAAAATCAGTTTTGCCCATGTGTGGTTTGAAAACTCATCACCTGCTTCCTCTGCATAACGAGGCGAGCTAGAGGCTGTCTCGAAGGTGATGCTCGAATGAGTTAAGACTCAGTTGGTTACCTCACTTCACCAGCAGATTCCTCTCAAAGTTTATCAGTAACTTTTGATGCTTTTTAAACCTAAGAAGGACGCTTACATGGAGAAGAGAGCTACCCAACTGCTACTCAGTCCTCTTAATGGTTATGTCGAGTGTTTGTTGGTCTGTGTTCTTGTCTTGTCTGTCTAAACATCAGTTTGAACGTCCGTCTACTTGTCTCAACTGTCTTTCCTTTATTTGTGTAACCAAAACACCTGCCATAGAGTTCCTTCACCCATCCTCATTTTATCGCTTCCAAAAACAATTTCTGCCTGTGTAAAAGAACTGGACTTCGTTTGCCTCTGTGTGTTTTTAAAAAATAAATAAATAAATAAAAATGATCAGGGTTGAAGTCAGGAACACCAGATAAAGGTAGAGATGGGGTGGAGGTGGGTTGCAAAGCGCCTTGCAGAAGCAAAAGTAGGCTACAAGAGCCTTAAAAAGAAGATTAGCCTGTAGAAACATTGGGCTTGACTTTGTGGTAAATGCTACTGTAAACTAACGCTGATTCTATACTTTATAAAGTCAAAAACCTAGGCTTTTCTTTTCCTTCATTTGCTTAAGATTTTTTTTTTTTTTGGATGAATTCACCCCCCATTGTTACTATGGAAACAATCATTCTCTGTTCATGACAGCAAATTAGGGTCACTGAAGGTAAAAAAAAACTAAATAAATTAAAGGAAGTAGATAAATCAAAAAAGGGTCTGAGTGAGGAAATTTCAGAGGAAATGGCAAATTTCCTCTGAAATTTGCCATTTTATTCATTTTCCATATTTATCTTGTATATGTTTGTAACTTTTCTTGGAAATCTGTCACTTTTCTCTCAAATTTCCCACTTATCTTGGTAAATTTACAACATTTATCACTTAAATGTATCCGTTAATGTAATTTAAATTTCTTGTGAAATAGCATGTTGTTTGCGACCCTTTTTCTTGTAAATGTACATTTAACTCTTTAATTTGCCACTTTTTTCTGGTAAATTTACTAGTTCATGTGATTTTCTTGTGAAATAGCCACATTTCTTTGCCATTTATTTGGCGCATTTATCTTTAACCTTAAAGTTTTTTTTCTTAAAAATTCTAACCACTCTCACTCAGCCCCCTTTAAAAGAAATGTTTTCATTTACAAAAAAACCCCAGGAAACACGAGGGATGCTGGGAATTTGTATTCCTGAACGGAGCATTATTGATATTTATGTGATTTCCTGCTGGAGGACAGTCAGTGTTTCTCCTTTAAAAGCCTCTGAAAGTGTTTGTTACTTTCTCTGTCGACGGTTGTGTGACTTCCTGTTGTGAATATTTCTGTTAAAGATGGAAACACGCCTGTCTACAATAAAGTCCTGCAGATACTCGCATGATATGATGTCTCTTCATCTTTCTTCCTCTCCCCTTTTTCCTCTCCTCCTCCTCACCAGCCGACGCGCATGAAATCCGATCATTTTTAGAATTTGTTTTATTATGTTGGAGCTCAGAAGCATGCTAAACAATGCTTGGAGATATCGGCCCCCTTCACTCCCTCTTTTATCCCCAGCTATCTGCACTAAGTGGTTTAAAGTGGATGAAGTAAATGGATAAGACACCCTTATTGCATGTTACCTCTAATAGGATGCCATCTTTATCATTTATAGTCTGAAGTTCTTCCTTTAAGCTTTACTCCTTCAATAAAAGGGTGTTTTTTCCAGTCTTTTCCCTCCATCTGTCCCTCCTTCCTCCACCCATGTCTTAGAGTATATAAACATGGAGAGCCATTGCTGTGTTTTCTTACCTTCTTTCCCTTTCTTAATTTCTCTCTTTTCTCTCTCCTCCTCCTGTTTCCTCCTCCTCTTGTTTCCCGTTACATGATTGCTATTTTGCTCCTGTGATTGGCTCATGTTTTGCGGGGTTGTTGTGTTGTTGATTTCTACTCCGTCCGCCCATTTGTCGTCGCCTTGATATTATTGCTTTTATTTTGGTCTAAAATGCCTCCGGTCATTGTGGATGTGGCTTATTCACTGTCACTCTGATTTTTTTTTTTTTTGGTCACGTGTTAATTTGCCGTCGCACTTGTGTGCACTCACACTCCATCTGTTTATTTTGGCCTCCTCCTTCACCTTTCCTCCTCCCTTCTTGCAATTTCCTCCTTATTTCTTCTCCTTCCTCCTCCGTCCCTCTTATCTTTATTTCCCCCTCTTTTCCTCCCTCCTTCCCCCTGCCTTGTTTGCTGCTTCACACAACCACCTCCTCCTCCTTCTCCTCTTCTTCCTCTTCCCGTCCCCGTGGCTCGGCAGCATTGGCACGAGGGAGGGGGTGATCCAGAAGAACCTGAGCGGCTTGCTGCCAGTGCGTGACTTCCGGCTGGACCCCAGCCTCATGTACTCCCTGCCCCTGCTGGCCCTCAGCCCCAACCTCCTGGTGGTGTGGATCTTCCTCAGCATGGCCTACTTCCTGGCCAAACTGCGCTGCAGCTGAGCGAGCAGCTCTACGCTGGAAGTGACCAAATGTCAAACGTACTGCGAGGGTGGGCGGGGACTCTCCACGCTGACTCCCCGGGGTGTTTCTGAAACTGTGCCACTGACCTGTGAGAGGGGTGTAATCAGCTCACACACACTGTCCCACCCTCACTAAGGGCTGTACGCGACTTACGTCCCACTTATCAGCAGCCACGCTTTGGGCTTTTTCTTTCTTTTCTATTCTTTAAACATCTTTTTCTTTTTTCTATTAAAAACCTGTCATAGCTCAGGGGTGTCAAACTCATCTTATTCGTGGGCCACTAACCCAATCCTGTGATCCTAACAGGACCAGAAGGCTAACCTCTTCCCACTCCCCTAAACCTCCAAATTGTTCTTAATGTAATGAATTGATCTGATTTATAAATCTGATAAACTCTCTGTGATATCTTGAACTCCTGAGACCCTGCATCATCATACAGGGATATATGGTAACATATTTACTTTTCATTCTTCTTAATAAAGTGTTTATCTTTTCAAAAAAAACAATGATTACTTTATTCTGTTGGGCTGTCAAAGAAATAGTGGAGTTAAGATTAGGTCCAGCTAATCGTAAATCGCTAAGAAAAATTAAAAATGCATCCCTAACGAGAGCTCGGGTGTCTGGAGGTTAAGGACAGAGTACAACGAGAAGACGTCCTCAGTCTTGCAGGTCTAGCGACCCCTGCCTGTCAACCACCAATAGTTATGGAAAAATGTGCAGCACCCACTTTGGTGGGCCTTTTGAAATGTTCAGATGACATTTTTTTTGTCTCCATTACAAGTTTTACACCTTTCAGTTTCACTGCTGCTTAGTAAGCAGTTGCAGACAAGTTGTCTCACTTGCAAAATATGAGTGACTCCTGGCTATCCAGTAGCAGCTACAACAGTGACGTTTGTAGCGCAGCACCGTGTACGTCTTTGCAACCACTTGGCAACCTATTCAGTAATGCACATTTTTCCCTAGCAACCTGTGGTTGCCAGGGATTCACCAACTGGTTTCTAGTTCTGTGTGCCTGAGGTCTTACTGGCCTAGTTCTATCCCACTTGTTTGACACTCCTGATATATTAATTATGTTGCCTACATTTGAGTGTGAGGCCACATGCCATGTTCACACTAAGCCTGCTGAATGTGAATTCTACATGATTCCATTCATGTGTTTTTTTTTGTTTTTTTTTTAGGATGATATTCGTCCACGTGTACACGCCGAAATTACCCAGATTATTTCCTTCTCTTCTCTTCTCTTCCCTTTTTTTTTTTTTTTTTTTTTTTTTTTGTCCAGGATTAAGATAGCAGACACTGCTGTTTTAAACTCACGATTCACTTGTCACTACAGTCCAAAACGCTGCCACGTGATTAATCCTTTTTTTGGGCTTTTATGTGAAATACTAAATTTTAACCATTACGATGTCCTAAATCTCCAATTCTGTTTTCTTTACTGAGGTTTAACCAAACATGCATTTTTCTAAGACTTTACAGAAACTAACGCTGCAATTTTCAGATTCAGTGTATCTGAAAAGCTCAGTTTTGTCCGCATGGACGGTATTTGCCAAAAAGAGGACTTTCAAAAAAAATCTGGCTGGCTCCGTGTGAACATATAACACAAAGCCATTAAAAGACATTAAGATATTACCTTTAGTAACTCACAGGATTATCCACTTCCAGTACTGCCTAATGAGAGTGTATTACTTCTTTCTTAGTGTATAGCGCCCTCTGATGGACATATTTTGCTCCTTTGTGATGGTCAGTTAGTACTCTGCCTTACCCTTCACTGGTGGAAGGTGACAGTTTATTGTAAAGAGTGTATAATGTGTATAAGGATAAGCAGATGATATCTAAACTTTGCTTTCAGGAAAGACCCACAGTAGCAATCAGATGATTATTTTATTCATGATTTAAGCTCAGCGCAAACAGCTTATATCATCAAAACATTTTCTGGAACATTTGATTTATCATTGTCTTCCATGTGCTTTTGCACTTGCCCTACACGCTAATGTGGAGGAACCTAAAGCTTTTATCTCGTGCCAAATGAAGCAAGTACGCACTTGCTTAGATATATATTTTTAAGGCAGCATTTGCTTGTTTTTGTTTCTTTTGGTCTTCCTGCTTCTTTATAGACGGTGGAAGCATTTTCCTGCTTCTGCCTGAGCTTTTGCACTTTCCAGCAGATCCGGGTCTGTCTCTGTCTTTGTTTAGATCCAGCCTATTGAAATGTTTATGTGAGGCAGTGTTAGTGTTAGGAATCACCTGATAGCCCTGTTTAATCAGAAAAAATGAACTGAACCCATTAACTGATCGTTTACTTGATGGACATTAAACACTTGTGCTGCTGATATGAAAACTATGCTAGTTCACATTCATTTAGCCTTAAACAAAAAGTCCCGTGACATGTGTGACCCATTTTAAGAGGAGTTCACTGAGCAGGAATACTGCTCTGAACTGTGTCGACTAAATGCGTATTGGCACAAGTACAAGCAGTATTTCGAACTCCTAGCACACCCACAAAAATAAAAATAAAATCATAAAAGCTGAAATATTGTCGCTAGTAGACGGAACAATCTAACAGTCTTATATGGAGTGTAGAGCGTGCCAAAATAAGTAACATCAATATGAAAGCTGTTATTTTTTACGTTCAAACCAGTGTTAAAAAATAGATGTGGAAAAAAATATTTAGTTAACTGGAATAAAATGAACAACTAGACTTTTGAAAAAGAAAACTACTTGAAATGATGCAACCACATAGCTGCCTTAAAATAAATAACAATACACTGGAAATGTCTTTGCAGTTAATTTGGTCTTAATTTAAGTCTAAATATGATAAATGTCTGCTGTAAAAGTTAGCAAAATAAAAATAACTACAACTAATGTAAACTAAAAAAAACTTTGAGTTTCTCTTTAATTAATTCCTTATTAAAATTAAAGCTGCCCTGCTTAGTAGATTCAATGTCGAAATGCTCATTTAGTAGTGATGGCGATACTGAAATATCGATTCCTCCGATACCAGTCATTTATGTTCTAGAATCGATTCTCACATTAAAATATCGATATTTTAGTAATTTAGGGTAAATTTGTAGTTTATCATTAACAGGAACACAGTGGAAAGAAACTATATCATTCGGATTGTCTACATTGGAAGGAACTACTTCCTCTTCTGCCTTTCATAGGTACGTATGTAGGTATGTTCAGGCCTATACTTTAGTGGCACAATTTACTGTCTTTGAGTCCAGTGTTTTGTATTTGCATTGCACAGCTTTACTGTTTTACTTTTCTCCTGCTGCTCTTTAGTGTCAGCTGTTTCCCCCATGAGCTGGTGGAGACCAAAAATGGAGCAAAAACTTTGATTACAGTAGTCACAGTATTAGCTCCTCTTCTTTTTCTTCCTCCTAGCGTTATTCCCACTCTGCGGGGTCTGCTTTTCTGCAAAGCCGCCTCCATTTGGCACGGCCAAGGGCGTCGTTCAGGTTGGCACTGATCTTCTTCACGTTGCCTTTAATTTGGTCCATCCATCACCTTTTTGGTCTGCCCCTTGGTCGCCGTCGCAGTGCTGTTCTTGCCACAGAGTTTTAATCACCTCTGACCACGTGCCCATATCATCGCAATTGCACTCCTTGCATCTTCTCTGTGATTGGTGCAATACCCAGCCGCTTCCGGATGTCGATGTTCGTGACGTGGTCCTATTGTGTCAGGCCCAGGCACCATCGCAGCATCCGCATTTCCATTGTGTTCGTGCTTTGCGGTGGCTGGCCAACACTCTGATCCATAAAGGGCCACAGGGCGCACTACACTCTTGTAGATCTTTGACTTGAGGTGGTCGGGCATTCATCGGTCGCACAGGACACCAGTGACTTGACGCCACTTCATCCAGGCCTCATTAATCCTGGCTCGTACGTCTGGCAGGATGTCGCCGTCATCGCCATCACAGTATTAGCTCCTAATGCTAGTAATATTTATTAAAAGAATCACATATTTAACTAAAAGCAACATTTTGAATTGTACCCCTTTGATCAGTTAAAATTCAAGTCAGACTACACAGCAATAATATGACCCATAATTAACCAGAATACTTTTAATTATCTTTTACTGTCTTTACTGCCAAAACAAAAAAAGTCCTGTAGCCTGGATTTGCTCATTATCATTAAAGTGACCCTCTCAAGTTTAAAGTTTAGGCATGAGTGGCTGTTTTGTCATTCTTTTATCTCTTCATGGACTCAGGTTTTTCCAGTCTGGCTGAGTGTTATTTATGGGTTCAGTTCATTTATAAGACACCGTCACATCCTGGTGTTCACCTGCCCAGAGGCTGAGACTGGCCAGCGATGGCTCTCTTCAAACACTTTAATTGGTCCCAGTGTGCCAAAATAGATGCAGTAAGTCAGCGATTCGACCCACATCTGCTCTGCAGCTTTCAGGACAATGCAGTCGAGATCAGCTCTGTCTCACCGACTGACAGAACTGATCTCTGCGTACTTCAGGATGCAGCTTGTAACTGGAATGTATGATTGTAGGATATTCAGGGGAAATGTGTTTGCATTGCTGCAGCTTGTGAACCCTTTAGAGCATTTATCTGTACCAGCCGATATGTTTACATGAGCTTTATAGAGACAGTAGAGTGTTTGATGAGTAATGTGAGGTGTTAAGATGCAAAGAGTTTAGGCTATTAAAGATGGGATGTCTGCATTCATTTTGGCTTATGCATCCTAGAAACAAGGGACCAATACACAATGCAGTGTGTGTCCCTCTTGTTTCAGGCATTCTTGTGTCAAATAAAGATCCCAATGTGATGATTTCTGTTAGCTGATTAACTGTTGTTTCTAGTCTTACCTTGCCAACAGTCCAGAACCCAAAGATAATTTGCTTACTAACATATTTTTAAAATAGCAAATTTACCATTAAAAACACAAATATTTGGCATTCATGTTTAATAAATGGCTAAAATAATAAAAATACATGCCAACTAATTAAGCCACTGGATCATCAGTTAATCATCTTCTTGATTTTATCTAACTTTATGCACTTTTAATAGAGCTTCCTATAAGAATGTTGTTTTGATGTTTGATATGCCCACTGTTAATTATATCATTGTATTATTATGAAGAGCCTTATTTCCCAGTTACTAACTCCATGGCTTCCATGATATTTTGGTTATATTGAGAATGAAGTAAACGGGACCTACTTTGCTTTTTTTCTTATTTAGTTTTAAATATATATAGCCCCTTTTCCATTAGTGCCTACTCGTGTCGTCTCGCTACTATTTACTGGGTTTTCCATTAGGTGGTACCTGGTACCAGGTACTGGTTTTTTTTTTTTTGGTTTTTTTTTTAGCACCTACTTGCTCAGGGTTCCAAGCGATCCAGGGCGATCTAAAAATGTGACATCAACAGACTGCATGCCACCTATTGGCTCGTCAGTGACGTCACTCAATGAGTCATTAGAGCGTCTCCCTCAGGAAAATCAAAACTGCCACTTTTAAAACCCGTGGACTTTCAGGTGAGGGTGCTCTTAGGTCTCAATCACCCAGGCTTAGAGAACAGTTGCCAATGCCTGGTAACCACAGTTCACTGGGGAAAAATTAGGGTTCCCTAACTAACTGCGAGTGCTTGTCGGCATTCGCAAGTGGAAATTGATTGTTAACCCTGTTCATGCAGTCACACTGATGGCTAGTTACCCCCTAATTGGAAGGGGAAAGGGTGTATTCTCTAACCAGTTGGTGATTGATTGCTGGGGGTTGCTTGTTGTTGCTAGGTTGTAAAGTATATGGTGCCCTACTGAAAACCTCCTTGTCATTGCTTTGGTTCTGAGCAGATTGTAACTTTTCATGTTTCATTCAAACCAGAAACTCAGAAAATTTGCCTTCAAAGTAAAAGTTGTTGGTTTCAGTTTTAAAACTACAGTTGCACTAGGGATAAGGTTACAGACTGTAGCACAACCAAAATTATGACAACTGTGGGCATTGAACTTGCAGTGGCTAGTTGAAGACTGGGAAGCTACATCCAGATGAACAGAGTCAGCTGTCTGGACTTTTCTTACCTGGATAACTGAGCGCGGAACGAGGACAGACCAAAGCAATCGCAGAGAGGATTTTGTTGCAGCTGACTTCATGCAATGATAGCCAGCAACCTCATCAAATATGTCAAGAAATAGATGATTTTCCTTTGAAACCTGTCAGGGGTTGCTGACCAGTCTCTAGGCCTGTGTGACTGTAGCCTTAAAGAGAAAGTTAGGGACAGAAGATAAACTGAGGGACCTCTGTGAAATATTAAGTATATCTGAACTGTGAGCCATCCATAGCTACTCTAATACAGTGTGCCAATAAAATCATAGAGCTGGAAACAAGCATAGTAGGTCCTCTTTAACAATGTATGTGGAAACTGTGTTAGAAACCAGAAGCACTTAGATTGTTTTACATATTGGAAATCTGTAATGTAAAAATCAATATCTTTGCTTGTAAAGCTAACCATCAGCATCGGTCGCCTCCCTAGAGTTCAGAGGCTCTGCCTCATTAAGATCGACCCAGTATGGAAATGGATCAGACTAAAATAGCTTCCTTTGGGGAGCTTACCCATGCTGATGACCTCTAAGTCATCAGTCACATACTACAGTAAAATGATCCTTCCTGTATGCTTTCTTTTGGATCCTGAAAATATTGAACATCTTTCAGACTGCTTTGAGAAATGTTTTGTGTCACAGGAAATGCAGTATACGTGTAGTAATTTCAGTAAAATATCAGTCTTGTGCTTTATATTAAAAGAATAATATTAAATTTGGGGATTTACTTCCTGGAAGGTTAGTGAGACGATTGGTACCATTTTTAATAAAGCGGCTAGTTAGCTTAATTTAGCTAATCTTATAAAACTAAAAGTTGTTTTTATTCTTTAAATATTTAACAATCTTACATTGTTAATGTAATTACAGTTGGGATACTGTGTAAAATGTGAATATAGACAGAATACAATGATTTGTAAATCTCACATTGATATTTTATTCACAGTACAACAGAGAAAACATACAAAGTTTAAACTGAGAAATAAAAATATTAGCTTAAATTGAATTTGATGGTAGCAACATGACACAGGGCAGTGTTTACTGCTGTGCAGCATCCCCTCTGCTTTAGCAGTCTATAAATATCTGTAAACTGAGGAAACTAACTTTTAGACTTTTGGGAGAGTCCATTTACTTCTGAGAAACTCTGCCCGTCTATAATGGTACATTTTCTCAGTTTAAACATATTTTTCCTATGTAAAGAAAATGGGAGTTTATGAGATTTGTAAGTCATCATATGTTTTTATTTACATTTTATGTTGTGTCCTAACTTTTTTGCTCATAAAGGAAAGGGCCTTTAGTCTTTAAAGCTGCTGGTTGGTGGATTTTGTTTCTTTTGAACTCAGCCAGGCTAGCATTTTATTCCTTTTTACCCATTTTGTCTATTAGCTGTAAGCTAGCTTAATGTTTTAAAGTAAGACTAAAAATAAAGCTGGGTAAAAGGCTTTGTGAAAAGCTACAAAAGGTATTTTGAAAATCCACCAGCACCCTTAAAGCTCTTTTTTTTTTAAAATCTTTAATTAATATAAAATATGTTTGTTTGTTTTTTTATAAACAATATAGCTAACTAAAGCTAACTATCTGCGGGCGGAAGCTTAGCATGCTAATGTGAGTGTGGGGTCAACTTTTTTTTTTTTTTTTTTTAGCTCAAATCCAGCAACAATGCAACTACAAATTGTCTCAATTTAAGTGATTATACGCCGCTTTTGAGGTTTTTAGCATTAGTTTTAAGGTTATTGCTTTCTTATCATCTGTTGAACTACCTCTGTGAGCTTAGCATTTATTCAAAAATAAAATAATATCAAAACTTATCATCGCTGAGCAGTAGGAATGTAAGTATTATTGGGAAATGGTAAAAAGTTGTGGAAGTTTGATCAAGACTAAATGCCAGTGAGGGATAATGGTTTCAGATACTTTGAACATTGAGTCCCACTATACCTGCAGGTGTAACTACCCTAAAGTGCTTCCTACAAAAATAAATCTAATGTTATATTATCCACCTGAAGAGAAAACATCAGTTTGCCTTTTCCTTTGCTTTATTTATTTATTTATTTTTAGGAAATCAGATATATCAGAAAATATATTTGTACTGCTGTAGATAAACTATATTTAAATGCCTGTATTGCCAAAATGCTTTATTTATCATATTGTTGTCTGCTATATGTATACATATATATATAGTCTGCGGTTATTCCAAAGTAGAGTGTGTATATATTGATTATTATAATGCTTGTGCCATAACTGTCACGCTGTCATTACTCTTGGTCACACCTGAACATGACTGTTGTTGAGTTCCCTGTGATATGCATATTTATATGTATTTTGTTGTGTTGTGACTGTTAGCTGTGGATTTGATTGCTTCTCTGTTTGCAGGTGTTTTCAAACCTCGTTTTGAAGGACTTGCACTGGTTTTGTGGCTCTCTTGTTGTTTAAGTTTGCAAACAGCAGGAAATCATGGTACCAGATTTTCTGTTCTTGTTCACGTCCAAAGGCTTTTTATCTCGCTGAGTATCGTGAACCCCAGAAAACCTCCCCTTTTCCCTCTCAAATAAATGCTTCCTGCATCCACCTGCAGAATGTAAACCGTGTGATATTTTATAGTCTTTAAAGTTGTGCACTCTCATCTTATTCTAACCTGCTTTAACGTGTCAGGTTCTACATGGCTATCCTTGAACATGCTTCAGCTGTGCTCTGAATAAAGAGACAAATGTGATTATCCAGCTGGTAGCAGACAATTTGGAGGTCGTTTATCTATTTATTCATGTGTTTGTCAGTCCATGTGTCATAATGTGTATTTGTTGTGTCTATGAATGGATTTTTTTTTTTTTTAATTCGGCAGCAGTCATGCTGTTTATCAGGTTAAGAAACATGTTTTGGGCTGCTGCCTTAGTGGTGACTGGCTTGTGACCCCCCTGAGGATGAGTGTCTCTCCTCCTGGTCTCAAACCAGAGATCTTTAAGGCGTGGGGGAACTCCAGGCCTCAAGGACCGGTGTCCTGCAGGTTTTAGATGTGTCCTTCATCCAAAACAGCTGATTCAAATGGCTAAATGACCTCCTCAACATGTCTTGAAGTTCTCCAGAGGGCTGGTAACAAACTAATCATTTGATTCAGATGGGTTGACCTAGGGTGATATCTAAAACCTGCAGGACACCGGCCCTTGAGGCCTGGAGTTCCACCATGCCTGCTTTAAAATATGACTGCTTCACCTGAGCCTTTCTAGAGTAAATTTGAAAGAGTGTAAACTTACTGACCTCCGCTGGTCATAAGCAGGAATTGCTATTGTGAAATAATCCATAGGCTTTTTTTATTTATTTATTTTTTTTATATAATAAAAAATACATTTTTTTTAACCCTTGAACCCTAATGTGCTTTTTTTTGTCACTAACATTGGGTCTATTTTACTTGATATACTGTTAAAACATACTTAACATCAACAGTACTCTCCTTTCTCTACGTAACCTCTATGCAACGTCTCAAAACAAAATAAAGGAATCATGGCGGGACCCTCCAGGCTCTAATGCACCGCAATGAAAATCACGTAGCTAATATCACGTTGGTGAAAATTACCTGACGTTAGTGTTCTCGGGTTGAGACGGATGCTTTTTTTTTTGTTTGTTTGTTTGTTTGTTTGTTTTGTTGAACGTTTTTAAATTAAAGTTTCAGTCTTATTTTCTGTCATTTGTACTAACATTACATTTAGTGATCTGACTGCCTGTCTGCATGGTAGATTAGATTGATATAAAGATTAGATATAAAACCTGTAAAACATGTTTTCATCCATTGTCTCCATCCTGCATTCTTTCTACTCCTGTGCCTATAAAAATCAGTCATTCTACAGACATCTGTGACAAAATTGACCCTGCTTCTCATTCAATCTCCTGCTTCATAATCACAAAACTATCAGAAATGTGTTCACTGGTCTCTAGTTTTGAGTCTTACTGAATATAATGTGATTTAAATTTTTTTTTTTTTTTTTTTTTTTTTTTTTTTTATTGGTATCGATGTTGTAAATCGACCACACAGTGAGCACTTCTCAGTCACATTCAAACCTTATGTGGACAGCTCTGGATTTAAAAAAAAAAAAAAAAAAAAAAAAAAAGGCTGAGGAGTCACAGCATCACAACAACTAAAGTTACCTTTAATTTTCATGGTAACCAGGAAAAATAATAGAATAGATTTTTATAATATTTTAACTTTGTTTAATATTTAAATCCATTTCCTTTTGAAAATAATGTTAGTTTTACAAGTTCACAAAATTGAGTTTATCCCAGAATTTCAATCCATCAACAAGAGTTTCTCTTTGACTTCATATGAAGAGACGTGTGTCCTCTAACAGAACTCTTAGTCCTTTGCACTCATGGTTGAATGATCATTTTCATCTTTTCTTCTCATCATGTGCACAAGTCATCATTTCTGCTTTTTTTTTTTTTCCTTTTGCTCTCATTCTGCCTGTGAACGCCCTCTCTCCCCTCTGTCTCCTCCTCCTCCTGTCTCCTCAGCGAGGGCTGTAGGCGAGAAAACACTGTGAAGAACGTCGGATGCCGAAAGTACGCGTTTAACTCGCTGCAGCTCAAGGCCTTCCCCAGACACTACCGACCGCCCGACGGCACCTTTGGCAAAGTGGAGACCTGACTGGAGGAGATCAGAGGACTGCTATGCGATCAAACTGAGTACAGTGAAGATACTGTGATGAGAGACTGTATAATTTCACCATCATGTGGCCTGGTTCCTGCTGTAGAGGTTTTAGATTAGATTATCGTGGAGGTAGACTGAGTGACTGAATGTCACACTAACAAACAGTAGCTCCGTCCTGAAAAAGAAAGACGAAGACCTTAGTGGAATGACTGTTTTTTAGGTACTGTACACATTGCTTAGAAATGTTTTTATTTTTTATTATAGAAAAGCACTGCCTCACTTCCACTTCCAGTACTGATGTAATCGATATGAAGGATGCATAATTTCTGTTCTACAATAAAGATGAAGAATATCAGAAAATCTGCAACTGTGTTTGACTTCTGTCCAAATGAATACAAATGCAAACAAATACAAATAGACTTAGTTTTAATAAACCTATATTTGCACTTGTTAATTTCCCAATACACCGAAGATTGGGGGGGGGGGACAAAGTAACACCCCCTTGATTAATAATGTGACTAACCACATTTTGGAAAGCTTTCAGTTCAGTTTCATGAGCCATACTCAGATTACTGCCAGACCTGCTGAATCAATCTGTTAAACGGAACCAGTCTGACAAAGTGAAACAGGCTAAAAGATCACAAACAACAACACATCAGGCCATGATGCAAAGAAACAGCTGAGAAACAAAGCCAGTGACATCTGTCAGTTTAGGAAAGGTCACAAAGCCATTTCTGACTCCAGTGAACCACAGTGAGAGGCATACACACATAAAGAAAACTTGGGACAGTGCTGAAGCTTCCCAGGAGTGACCAGCCCACCAAAATTACTCCAAGGATGCATCGACGACTCATCCAGGAGGTCACAAAAGAACTCAGAACAACAGCTAAAGAACTGCAGGCCTCACTAGTCTCAGCTAAGGTCAGAGTTCATGTTTCAACAGTGAGACAGAGACTGGGCAAAAATGGCCTCCATGCAAGAGTTCAAGGAGAAAACCACTGCTGACCAAAAAGATCACAAAAGTTTGTCTCAGTCTCACATTTACTAAAAACATCTTGATGATCCCCAAGAAAATATTCTGTGGACTGACGAAACAAAAACTGAACTTTCTGGAAGGTTTAAGTCCCGTTACATCTGACATCAAACTAACAGCATTTCATAAAAAGAACATCACAGCAACAGTCAAACATGGTGGTAGTAGTGTGATGGGGCTGCTTCAGGATGACTTGCTGTAACTGATGGAACCTCGAATTCTGCTCTGAAGGAGGATGTCTGACCATCAGTTTATGCTCTGAAGCTCAAGAGCACTTGGGTTATACACAATGTTGGGTAAGTTACTTTAAATTAGTAACTTAGTTACATTACTAGTTACTTAAAAGTAACTCAGTTACTTCAAGTTACTCGTTACTTTCAAAGTAACTAGTTACTAGGGAAAGTAACTTTGGTTTTACTCAGAATTCTCTTGTTAATGTGTTGCTTCCATAACTGGATACCCAGCAAGATTGCAGTCTTCTAGCTTGCTTACTTGCCACAAGTGCACTGTGCATATTTACACAAGAGAAATCCCTCGCCTGGACCGTCATTGACTGCTGCCATGATTCTAGCCTACGTCACAGCGTCATGTGCGCTTTTTACATCCAACACAAAAACTGCAGTCGTGGTGCTTTCGATTGTACTCAGAACTCAGAAATTCTGCCTTCTGAATAGGAAGATGTAGGTAACACCAGACTGCAGATGAGCTGCATACAGGGATGGACTGGGACAAAAAATTGGCCCGGGTATTTTGACTAGAGACCGGCCCACCATTATAGGAATAATCATAAAGCTTTTGAATGAAAACAAACACTGTTGTGACAGTGATGTTCACTGTTTTGATGGTATATATGCTTCAATCTATCAATCGTTTGTTGTAAGACTCAGATAATTATTTTTTAAAGCTAGATATTTTAAATGAGAATAAGAAAGAAAAGTATTTCTTTGTGCCCCCCTTTCCCTGTTAATGCCCTACCTGGCCCCCCCTGGCAACACTTTGCTAGACCCGCCCCTGCACAGTTACCAGCTGTCAGCTACACAGAAAAGGATCCTGGGGTTATTTGTCTCTCAGAAACAGTTCATAACTTCCCTTCAACTCATTCATGTCACCTAAAAGCTAAACCTGTTTCTCCATCACCTGTTCAGCTCTGATGATCCAGTAAGGACATCTCCTGGTTTCATCTTCATGTTTCCCTCTCACCAGATAACCAAACCATATCATGACCAGCAGCTTTACAGCTGTGGCTCCAGCAAACATCAGCTGATACTAGAAATTAATATTAAATAAATTCTAACAACAGCTGATCAAGCTTAAAAGTGCTGCCGTTGTTTAGCGCGACATCCGCTGGTTTCTTCTTTCTGGCGCAAAGTGGGCGATAAACAAACGAGAGAAAAGCTGATCAGCTGATCATTGATCAGTTTCATGACTGAAGTAGAAACGGGAGAGAATGAGAGAAGAAGAGGCAGCTGTGCAGCAAAGACAGATTAACTCCAGATTTGTGTCTTTTTCATTGTAGCTGAAGTCCGGGACAAACTGTGTTTCTTTTCACCTCAATACGAAACGCGAAATATTTTCTCTGAATACAGACGATTCTGTTTTTTACAGGACGGCTGGCAACTCTAATAATTAACCGTATGAACAAAATAAAGTTCAACATCATTAACATCATAGCACCACCCAGCTGTATAGAAACTCCGTCATGCTAGCTAGCACGCAGTACGAAAAAGTCAGCATAACGAAAATAAACTTCACCTAAACTTGGTTCATATCTGACCCAGAGAGACTGCAGGTCATAACTTCTTACCTGAAGTTCAGTTCACACTTGGACCGGCGGCTGCCTCGGGTCTCTCCTCTTGCCTCCCCTTTCCCTCATCCACCTGCTGGCCTCCACCACTTGCTAATGTTATTGAATCTGTGGAAGCTCCGCGATAGCCACCACACGAAGTAACGAATAACGAGCCTATCTAAATCCCAGTAACGAGTAACGCGTTCCTGGTTTTGGCATAATAACTAGTTACCGTGCTCGTTACCACAATAATAACGTAGTTACTGTAACACGTTACTTAATAACACGCTAGTCCCAACACTGGTGATACAGCAGGACAATGATCTGAAAAGTCCACCTCAGAATGATTCAAAACCACAAAATTATGGTTTTGGAGTGGCAGAGTCAAAGTCTGGGCTTAAATTTAGATTTATCCTTTTTTCTAAAAAACAAAAACAAAAAACCCAACTTATTTGCATATTTATTTCAAAAATTAAATACTTTTTAGTTTTTGCAAAATATCTTCCCATCACAAGGTAATGCTTAAATTCTTATCCAGCTCTGCTTTTAACATAATAAATCAGCAATATCTGTCACAGGTGGATCTAGAAGGGTGGCATGGGGTGGCATGTGCCACCCTAAAATGATCTTGTGCCACCCTAGTTTTGCATATGACAGTGTTGTTTATTAAAACAAGATAACATTGGGCCTAGCAACAGTTAACACTGAATGTAAATTCTAAAACTGAATATATTACATAGTGATACCCCCCCTCCCCCATTAACAAATGGTTCAGCCCACAGCACAGAAGCATTATTTCTTGTTCCAGAAGGAGTGGCTACATTTTTAGATAAATAGTTGTATATAACTTTATTGTTTAGAAAAGTTGTGCAGAAATTTTTCAAAATTTACAACTTATATTTGCATTTCAAGTTGTGAAAATAATTTACTAAACATGTCTGTGGTTTTTACAGTAAAAAAAAATATAAGTACTACTAGGATTTTTGTTTTTTGTGTGATTTCAGATCAGTTGTGTTAATACAATATGTCAATGAAAAAATAACTGTAAATTCAGACGTGAGGCTGAGGTGAAAAGAATGACACAAGCAAGGAAAAAACCAAACACAAACAAAAGAACAATTTGAAGGTGAAATGCAAATGTCAAATCAAAAGTAGTCAAAAATGGCGAATTACATTTTGGACATCAGAGGGTTAACGCAACAAGTCATGAAAAATTAGGTTTAAATTCTTGTTCATGGCAGTGTAGATTTGTTACATTTTGTGTAAATTTAAGCATGCATCAATTAGATTTTTTCTAAGAAAAAAAGTTTGACACTTAGACATGTGTTTGTAAATGAACTGCCCCATGTTGTGTAGCTTTCTGGATTTTATACTTATTGGGCTACATATTTATTTATTATACAGGCTATACAGTATATAAAAACCAAAAATTCACAAACTTTATGTAACTGAAATGTTTACTTGTGTTTGCTACAGAAAATAATTAAATTATAGGCTACATTTATATTAAACACGTATACATACTTCCTTTGAATCATTTTAACCGTGTGTGTGTGTGTGTGTGTGTGTGTGTGTGTGTGTGTGTGTGTGTGTGTGTGTTTGTTTTAAAGGCTTTGATTTGGCCACCCCATTTGATTTCCACGCCACCCTCGTGCCACCCTAAGAAAATTTCTCTAGATCAGCCCCTGATTTTATGACTGCTTGTGTTTTCCACTCAGGCTGCCGTTTATCTGCAATGACCCATCTGGCCACACGGGGGAGTCACTGCGCTGTAAAGCCAGGCGAACAGCTCAGTCCTGACTTCTTCATACTTTGCTTCCAAGCAGCCAGACCGTTAATAGTTTTTAAAATATGTTTCTGAAGTGCTCTTGCGCAACAGTTTTCCAGACTTTCTGAAGGGCTTTCAAGGTGTTTCTCTGGAACCCTGGTAAGCGGTCAGCGGTGGGACCTTCCAGCGGAGGAGCCCAGCAGGAGTCTTGTTTCCATGACAACCGTGTCATTACCTAGCATGGATTGTGAAGCGGCTGCGGCTGCTACTTAGAGTTTTACCGACAAAAACGGGTATACAAAAGGTCGCGGGTTGTTTAATCCAGCAGTTTGGCTCCAGAGAGGCTGTTTGTGATAGTAGCACTAACCGAGTAACGAACGTAGAGACGGACGTCACGTCAGCTGTGCTTTAACCTGGGATTCTTAAGTTCAATAGGAAATAAAAACAGGCTGTATACACGTGAATTTTACTTTATTTCAAACACACAAGTGGTAACAATCGAAGAATTAAGGTGTATGTGGAAGATGATGGTGAAAAAGAATAAAATGAATGGCTGGAGGACCAATCCTGAGGAAACAAACAAACAAGTTTTTAAATTAAAGTATATGAGCATGTTTGTCTTTCTCATAAATTCATATTTTCTCCTTGTAAGTAGATCAGTTTTTCCTCCAACTTACACTTTGTTTCTCACAAATTTCCAAATTACAATTTCTTGTCTTGTAAATTTGTAAAAACTATTTTTTTGTAAATGTATTATTTTGTCCTGGGTTTTGTTTTGTTTTGTTTTTTTAATGTCATTTTTCCCCATAAAATTTTCTAAAAGAGTTAGCCTTTTTTCCTATGAGTGTAAATTTTTTTAGTTCATAATTTTCTCGTTGTTTCCCCACAAATTTGCCATTTCTTCTTAAACTGTGCCATGAATGACAACATATACCAAATAAGTTGATCTATTCAAATGAAATTCAGCTTATGGTTCTCGAAAGATTTATCTCTCTGTAGTTCTGCAGTTATAATAAACATAAGACTTTTTTGAAATTGCCACATGGCGGTTAAAAGATGGCGTCTTTGTAGCACAGGGGGTGTTAACATCTTAGACATTCCTGTCATTTAGCTGTGTTAATCCTAACGTATTTCTAGAAGGTGTAGATGACAGTGTCCCAAACGTCATACTTGTACTCATGCTGCCAAGCCTAACCCTGAATGCCAGCACAACCATCAGTCCTGACTTGTCACATAGAAATAAATCATTAATTGTAAAGAGCTTCTGTACTCATATGAGAATTTTGTAGAGAAACAGAGTCACTTTGTGTTTTATTACTTAGTCTATATGTGTTTTTAAACTGCACATCTATGACTGCAGGATCTGGGCTAAATATCAGCAGAGTCCCATCAAATCACAGTGCTCTTATGTTCATGCTGTGCCAGGTCAGGATGTTCAGGAAGATGGCGTGGAGGAACACACCCAGTGAAGTGGTGATTCTCCCATAACACCAGCATGTTACTGCTGAGGTCCTACGGTCCTGACTGTATTTCTGCTCAGAGACGAGGGAGAGGGCAAAAACTTCAAGGTGATTCGACATGCGTGCTGGTAGCGCTCCAGAAATGACTCACATCCTTCCTGCTAATGTGCTGCTCTTTGTCACGATGCTCAGGTGTTCCTGGGTGACCCACATACCCACTCCTGCCCTGTGTTCACCAAGAAGCTGGAGCATTACAAGCACATCTGCTGGTATCACTGACACAACGGAAGGAATAGCCATTGATGAGCATTTTAATATATTTTTTAAATACTGTGTGAAGGCAAACACTGACTGTAACAATTGAATGCATTGATTTGTCCATAGTACATAGTGTTTATTTTTCTCTTTACCCATTTTTAGGAGAACTACTTAACAATCCTCTCCAAAAACTCCTTTATCCCTCTAAAGAGTCAGCAGTTATGTTATGGCATCCTTTCTAAAAATTCTAATCGGTAGCTTTACCAACAGGAACAGTGATGACAGGCTGCTAACAGGAAACTCCAGGGTGGGAAGGCTAAATGAGCATGACTCTTAAATCAACCTTTTTAATCTTTATCATTTCAGGGTTTTACTGTGGAAAGTCAGACTACCCAGAGAACATGAATGTGAGTTACTTTCAGACTTTTGGTCGGTCAAAGATTGTAAAAACCTTTGAAACGTTTACTCACCCATGGGCATGAATCTCATGGTATTTGGGGGCTTTTAATGATTTCTTTGAACTGTTCTTTTTTTAGTGGTGGAAAAAGTTAATGTATGTTATATAATTCTATCTATAAAAGCTTTAAAAAACAAGAACTGTGTGCACAACTTTAATTTTATACATATACACTCCCATTAATTTGTGGCTTAATGTCTCTTAGCATGTTGGACCTCAACCAGACACTTTTGGTAGCCACCAACAAGCTTCTGGAATAATCCTGGCTCAGATCTAACAGCTCTTCTTGGCAGAATAGGAAGAATTCATTTAAATTGGGTGGTTTCTTGGCACAATCTAGGCTTTTAAGCTCAGTTCAAACATTTTCAACAGGGTTGAGGTCGGAGCTTTGGGAAGGCCATTCTAGAAGCTCAGGGTTAGCCTGCTTTATCTGTTCTGTAACCAGTTTTTATGTTTTTGGGATCATTGTCATGTTGGAACACCCAACTGTGTCCAAGTTTCAACCATCTAGCTGCTAATTTGAAGTGAAGAATTTGGAGTCCTCCCCCTTCATTATTCCAACCATTTTGTATAATGTATCATTACCACTGGCAGCAAAACGGCCTCCGATTCTACCACCACCATGCTTGACAGCTGGTACAGTGTTCTCAGGTTTGAAAGCCTCACCTTTACCAGTCATGATACTTTACAGTTTGGGTCTTCTTCCAGACCTTTAAAACATGGTGATAGATCTTAATAACAGCTGTACTTGCATACAGTGAGTTAAATGGATGATCTTGGAATCTGCAGTTGGCTCCAAAAAATATTCCCAACTTGGGTAAATCAACAATTCTCTTTCTTGGATCGTCACTTGGAGTTCCTTGAACTTTCCCATTGTTCTGAGTATTGGTCAATTCAATGAGTGCTGTCAAACAATCACTTTAATGCTGCAAAGAGCAATGACGAGTTACATTAAAGATTTAAGCTGTACAATCATTCCACCGTAGAAAAAGAACAGTTGAAAGAAATCATTAAAAATTAGCATCACACGGCCTTTCAGGTGAAACTTTTCTGTGTAAAGTTTTACATATTAAAATCGAACATTAATCAAACTGTTATTTCATATTCTAAATTTTCACCTTAGTCAACTTCACATGCGCACACACATTTCAGCTCCACGTGGACTGTGTGGACCCGATCCTTTGGTAGTCCAACTCCTGCCCCTTGGATGGATATGTTGTTTACAACCCCCTGACTTTTAGAATCAGTGACAGGAAGACCTCCGCAAAGTCAGACTTCACTTCGAGGTGCTATCAGGCACTTCAGTTTCTTTAAACATCAGGAGATGAATCCTTAATCAAAATCAAGTAAAAAAGAAAAAGAAAAAAAAGACTTGAATCTGCAAGTATGAGATTTATTTTTGCTTGCAAAGTTGTATTTTTTCTGTATTTTACAACACAGCATTAATTAAAAAGCCATAAATTCTCACTGGTATCAACTAAGTTTATTAATTTGGTGCACAAAAAAGGCAAGACTAACAGCACTACCATCATTACAGAGGTAAAAACACAAGAGGTGTCCATTGGGGAAGAATCAGACGATTCGATAGTGAGACACACAAGGGGAACACTATACATGGAAATCAATACAAATCACGTTCAAAAACAGGAAGTGGCAGTGATCGGAGTTGTTGTGCTCGTCAAGAAGTACCAGCACAACATGTTGACATACGACTCCTCGAGTGGCCGCTGAGGCTGGGGGGTACCGTGTTTTTTAAAGCTGATGACAAGCAGGAGAAAAATATTTTCAGCTGTAAGCGTACTGAATGATCAAGTGCTCAGTTTGTTGCTACATTTAAAATTACAAAGCTCAGGCTTTTTGTACAATCCTGTGGGGGGAAAACACTCAAAATCTGTTTCATTCAATCGGTGCATATCTCCACTTCTGGATGGTAGAATAAAACAGCACAAATGATTTAAATCACTGTCACATCGTACATAAAATCTTTACTATACACATACAAAAGAGCACACGTGAATGTACAGAATGAAATCCAAAGAGTCGTAAAATGATGGAAGACTAATTATGGTAAAAGCTTTGCTGCACTGTTCTCTTTAAAAAGTGAATTTACTTGAAAATATTGCTATTTGAACCATTGTTTTTCACACTGTATCATGGTTCAACAGTTTTAAATGTTTTATTGTGGATATTTTTACCCACTTTTAGTGGGTTTTTACCCGACCTTCAGTGGGTACCCATATTTACCCACTGAAGATTTCTTGGAAACATGGATAAACCTGCCTTGTCCTGCCAGGTAGGAAAGGCATGAAAGAGTATGGTTGGCCTTTTTGTTCAATATTTCACTAAAATACTTCTTTGTATAAATATTAAGAGCGTAAGTACTCAGATTTATGCTACCAGTTGTCCTCTGAGCTCAATGCTAGCATGCTAATATGGTCACAATAGTTAAGCTTAACATGCTAAGCGAGTATATGTATATGCCTTGTAGGGCGGCAGACCAGTCAGCACGCCCCTTATAAAATGTGTATTCCCTGACTGGTTGGTGAGTGGTTGCTGGCTGTCGTTGTGTAAAATAGTTTGCAAAACAGGGTACTGCCTCAAAAACCTTGTTGCAATTGCTTTGGTCGCTAGCAGATTACTGCGGTCGTCCACAGTTTGCATGGAATTTGTCTGCAAACACTCACCAGTCAACCAATGAGTGGTAATGAAACATGAACAAGTGTAGCACCACCTAGAACATTTGCGTTCAAAGTAAAAGCTGCTGAACCAACATATTTCAAAAGGCAACACTTTTACTGTAAAGGCAGTCTGTGCTCTATTCTTCACAGTTTTACTATCGCTTCGTGAGTAGTTGACAAGACATGAAGTGTTTGCAAACCAGGTGGAGACTTCCGTGCAAACTCTGTGCCAAATCGGCCCTCTATTTTGTTACAGCCAGCTTCACCTAGCAACAGTAACCTCCAACAACCTTTTGCTAATCTGGGAAAACACATTTTTCCATAGTGAACGGCAGTTACAAGGGGGTCACTGGTCTTAGCAATGGATTCCACAGCGACTGCCCACAACAAGCAAAAGATCCCCCAGTTCAAGACCAGGAGGAAATACCTTGTGGGTTGCATCAGGATGAGTATCCTGCCCAATCAAATGTGCAGCACTGCCCACTGTGGAAACCCTTAGTGAATAATGGGAGAGCTTAATGTAGTTTTCTTTTGGTTGGAGAATTTTTTTTTCCTAGCAGCCTTCCAGTGCCAGGCAGTCGCCATCAGCTCTCTACGTCTTGTGTAAATGAGGCCTTAGTCATCTTATTTCAGCTAATATTTCTCATGTTTGCTGGTTAGACACAAAGTACAACAGACATTATTATTAGTCTTGCAGGAACTGAACCGTTGAAAATTTGACCATGGACTGTTTAAAGGATGGACAAAGTCAAGCTAATGCAGGAGCGCCTTAAAGGTGCATTCTGATATCCAGCAGGGGGCGAGTCCTCTGACTGCAAAAAGACTTTGGGTCATATAAACCTTTACAGAAAACTGCCCACAGTTCCTAGTTGACAAGTTACAGACAAAGTTGCCAGTTTCAGAACATAGTCGTTCCAACCTCGTTTTAAAAATCTTAATACTGAGCAAGCAGTTTCTCAGTCAAATCCACACCTTACACATCATAGCTGGTTTCAAACATCACAGTGTTTGAAACCAGCTGTGATGTTTGAAACCAGCTGGGGAAAACACTCATCCACTGAAGCACTTAACAGGCCAATGGATGATGCTCTGGTGGCTAGGTCCATCTTTTATACAGTCTATGACTTTGACTTTAAGATGATGCAGCGTGGAAATTTAAGGGTCAGCAAAGTTCTTACAAATCATCCTGAGAGGAACATTAATATACATGGCTATCCATCCAACCAAATGTCAGCCTTATAGTGAAACGGAGAGAAAAATACGTTTGTGATTGAAATAACTGTGATACAGTATCAGGAAACAATGAGCCTCTGTACACATTCTAACAGTAAACCACCAACAGTTGTTGAAATGGTTTACCAACGGACCAACGAGCTCACAGACCGCTACAATGGCATTGCCTTCTGTTGAGCTGCACTATATCAGTGTAGCAAAGAAGCACTCTCTGGACCAAAAGAGGAGAACCATTATTATAAACTGAAGCGTTCATTCAAACCCAGATTTTTTTCCCTCCCTCTAGAAAATATAAACCTATGTTGATGCCTACTGTGTGAGTATATATATATATAAATAGATTTGGGCATGCAGGTACAGCTAAAAGCAGATCTCCAAGGCACCAATTGCACAATGCTGTCAAGAAATTAGTTTCAAAGGGTAATGCTGTACCCGAAAAGATGTTCAGGTATTAAGAAAAAAGTAAATCAAATCATAATTTATTGGCAAGCAACAGATTCTTCCAGTTACAGAGGACTTGCTATGCTTGTTACCATCTCCATGTTGTTATTCTTGGACTCTACTGGAGTAGCTTTGCATTATTCAAGGATCAAAATAATAAATATTCCTTATACTCAGCCCTGGAGTAGCCTATCTTAGACTATTTGTCTTCTAAATGGCTTCCACTAACAAACAGAGGATTTGAACAACAAGTGGGTGGGGCAAAGACAGCCCCACTCTCTGACATCATCCAGAGCCAACAGCAGAAAAAACTGTTTGAAAGCAAGTATTTAAAGTCAACTGAAGCCGGCACTTTTCCTTGCAGAGGTTACTTAGACATACACTGACCTCATCAATTAAAACCTAATAGGTAGCACAATAAGTCCACTTTGTCCACTGTGTGACAACAGCATATTTATAACAGTATCCCTCAAAGAAAAGTAGCAACTGTACCAGTGATTGTTTCCAATAGTTAATCTAATTCTTTGGGCTCTTACGAATCCCGTTAAACAAGTCTTGACACGTTTTGTCATACAAATAAATGTGGACAACTGTAAATGGAAATAAATGGGAAAACAATTCAGTCTCTAAGTAATCTATGATGAATTGCTGTTAACGGTAAAATGCAAATATATTCATACGCACGGTGAAAAGATTCATTTTCATGCATTCAAAAACAGATGTAGGCTAAAAACCTTAAACTTCAGACATGAACTTCAAAATGGCAGCTTTGCTTTGCTTTACAATGTACATCAAAATTTCAATCCAAAGGTTCTGGAGTCAGTCAAAAGTTGGAAAGCTGAAGCTCGTTTTCCTTTTACTTACACTCAGTTTAGTTAACAAATCCCAGAGCGTCATTTATGGTGGAATGAGGCAGTAGGATACAAAACGAGATGTGAGTGCTGCGGACTGGGAAAGCTTCTTCGTCTTATTTAATATACAGCAGGCATTTATGGTGAGGATAAGTGCACTACACATTGACCTGTATCTGTGTCCATCCTGCAAACTCACCAGATTTTTTTTATACTAAATATCGAAACACACCACCTTTGCGTAACCCTATTTAACGATTACAGGCAGTAAGAAGGCACCCTCTATAATGCCAGAACCGGATACTGTGGGACATCGTGTTCACACGGACATCTGCTGTGAGGAATCTCGCTGGTGATCGTCAGATTTGGGAGAATGAGAGAACACGGTGCACAAACTCGTCTTAACAGCAGCTACATAACGTGACACAGATGCTGATTCATTTCTTGAGCTAGCTTATGCATTCTTTGGCAAAGTTGTACAATCACAGAACTCAACAACAACAATGCCTGTGTGAACACAAACTCATATGAATTACTTAATTTGGATTTTAACTGAAGCACTGATGGGTGGGGAAATGAGCCTGAGAAGCTTTAGCTTCTCTTGGTCAGAGGTCTGCCCTCCCGGATGTGCTTGGCACTCCTCTTTTCCGTCTTCCCCTTCTCCCTAACCTTCCTCAGGCGCCGGGGAGGTGGTGTACCTCTTGATTCACTGTCCTCCTGAGCGCTGGATGTATCCATCCCATCACGCTCTTCAGGAATATTCGGAATGGCCCCACTGCTCCCATCTAAAATGTTCCTCAGGGACGGGTCCTCTGGTGTGCAGGTAGCAGTGGTGCCGCTCTCACTGCTGCTCAGGTCCTGTTCTTCGCCGTACCGCCCGCCACGGCTGTGGTGCGGCAGGGAAGAAGCCCTGATAGAAGGTCGGTCACGCTCCGTCTCGCGGATACTTTGCTGAGGCTCGTTCATGTCCACCCCTGAGTCCAGGCTGGTGTCGTTGCTGCTTGGCGGGCGGTGGTGGCTCTGGAGCTCAATGATGGAGTGGCGGACCTGCGCTGCTGGCTTCCCGTCTAAGGAGACAAACCAGGCTCTGGGGTGAGACGACGAGGACTTGCCACGCGTCAGCTCCAGCAAGGTGCGCTCTGAAATCCCCTGCAACTCACTGGGCACGCCGTGCCCGGTGT